TGGACCCGACCCCGGTATCCTTGACACTACCCCAGAATCCTTGATCCATTACCCCTGTATTCTAAACCGTAACTCCTGTTTCCTGTTCTCTTACCCCCATAAAAAAAAACACCCAATGTTACAAACATCCAATGCAACAAAACGCCCAATGTTACAAAACGCCCAATTTTACAAACATCCAATGCAACAAAACGCTTAATTACAAAACATCCAATGCAACAAAACGACCAATGTTTAAATACGTTCAAATGTGTACGTAAAAAAGAAAATGAAGTTCGATTTTATCACTCCACGTTATCCTGGACATTTCCCCTGGATCCGTCCCAGTAATCAAAACCCCAATTCCTGTATTCATGACCCTACCACTTTATCCTAGGTACTACTCCTGTATCCTGCATCCTACCCCTGTATCATGGACACTCTTCTGTATCATCGACACTACTTCTGTATACTAGACACTAGTCCTGTATCCTAAGTAATACTCCTACTACCCCTGTATCCTGGACCCTACTCCTGTATCCTAGACCCTATCCCTATATCCTGGACCATATCTCTGTATCTTAGACCCTACCCTACCCCTATATCCTGGACCCTACCCCTGTATCCTTGACACTACCCCTGTATTCTAGACCTTACATCTGAACCCTGGACCCTACACCTCTATACTAAACCCTACCCCTGTATCCTGGACACTACCCCTGTATCCTGGACACTACCCCTGTATCCTGGACACTTCCCCTTTATCCTATTCTATATCCTGTGTCCTGTATCTCAAACTGGAACCTCGATGTCCTGGGGCCTACATATTTATCCTGGCCCCCCCCCTCCCATTCCTGGACACTAACCCTGTATCCTGGACCCTACCCCTGTATCCTACTCTATATTCTGTATCCTATATTGTTTGTCTAATGTGTGTCCGGGTATGTCTAATCTGCAATAATTGGACTGGGTTGGAGTGGTATTACCATGTTTCTGTCATCTGACCCTTTCCTAGCTCGCAATCCTGTCACTCAAACCCAGGGGGAAATTGCAGATCTGGAGAACCCGGAGAACCATCTTGATAATTCTCATTCTCCTCTAATCCTTCATTAATCCGGCAATATTAAGGTTTACAGTTTACCCTTTAGAATAGAAAAACAATTTTCTTTTCAGGGTTGTACACTGAATACTTCTCCTGTCTAGATTTCACAAAAAAATCTTAATCAAAGAAAAATTTAAGTTTTAAAAATTATTTTTTTCTAAATAAAGCATTATTTTTTAGCCGATGTTTTCTGGAATATATTATACATATAAACCAAGCCCCAGCCCCTGGTAATGACCAAGTTGTCATTTTCGGGTTTTAATTCTTTCACAGTATAATTGCCAAACGGATGTTTAAACACTGTGGCTAGGACATGCAGGGAGCTAAACTGAAACTAAGATTTTTTTACAATTTTTTCTTACAGGTCATTTCAGGAAATTTTTCTTTGTGTGCCGATGTTTTCAGAATTTGATGAGAAGGTTGGGTTTCCGTTTCTCCGTATTCAGTGTACTCCAAAGATTTCTCTTCGGTATCATGAAAAACCATACTCCGGCATTATATATTATATAATAAATAATTAATCTTTTTTCATATTCATATTGGACAAGTCGGGGTAAACCTTGTTTAGGCGATATATGAAAACAAAGAGTTCTGCTCAAAAGTTTAATTTTGGTCGTTTTTGAGTTGCACAGAAGCAGTAAATAATGGGAAGTTACGAAAGTTCTACAATCTACATCATATACTCAGATCTACAGGGTTACCCAAAAAGGATGAGACGATTGTGCGGAATTTCTCTAGTTCCCTTTTCTTAAATTCAGGTCAAAATTGGTTATTTCCGTGCTTTCTCATTCAGTAAAAATCAAAATTCTAAATTGAAGACAAAAACTAACAATAAAGCTTAAAATCGACATGTTTTGAGTCGTCTTTACAGCATTATCTTTTGCGAGTTTATAAAGTAGGAAATATTTCGTGTTTCAAATATTTATATTTTTACTATTAGACAATTAGTAAAAATCATATTTGAGCACAATTTTTTATTCTTTAATTCTCTTTTTTTAACCAAATAATAATAGAAAAAAAAATTGTATTTTTTAGTTTTAGTGGGGGGGTGTAGAGATGAGAAAGAGGGAAATCGTGGTGTAAAATCTCTACATCAACCATTCCTACAATTTTTTGTATTCTTATAATTTTGTTTTTCTATCTGGTAGGTTGATTGGCCTCTCATACTGGTCATCTCAGATCCAATTAGAACCCTTCTACCCCCTACACCCAAAGAGAATAGAATATATATTAGAGTGGAATTTACTAGAAAAAAGTGTAAAAGGGCCATTTTGTTGTACTGTTTCCATACTGCAGGTGTACTTACATATTTGTGCTATATAACCTTTTGGGCCCTGGAACATCATTTTATAGAAAATCTTAAATTAATATTAAAAGAAAACCAAATTATGAAATAGGCTGGTTTCATAATTGACCAATGATCATTTCACATAGACTCTATGCCTTTCACTTTACAAACGATGATTTTCCGTTATAACTATAAATCAAATGATGTTTTTCATTCGCCTAATTCATTTTATAAAGTTTATTGAACACCTTTAAAAAATTTGAAATTAAAATGGATAGTCTAGAGAACATACTGTATCAATATACTCTGCTGCATATAATTTGTGAACATTTACATGATTTGTACACTTTGAACTCCCTTTCAGGCTGAAAGGGACCGACAAAATTCATACCGAGGGATTTTTAAATTCCACTCTAATATATATTCTTTGCCTACACCCTACAGGTTGTCCCATTAAACATGGAAGTTAAGTAGCCACTTCTATATCGGCTTTGTTCCCAGCATCTCTGTTATGACAATAACCGTCTAAAACTACTAGTCTCATGAGTTCCCATGTTTATCAGGGCACGATCAGGATATCCTTTAGGCTATATCCAATTTCGCACTGTCTTATAATAAAATGATATGAAAACCTATGTAAACCAACAATGACAACTATGGATATATTAGTGATCCTCGTGTAACCCTGCAAGTGACACCTTCCAATCACTATTCTTTTCCTCGACAACCCTTGTTCGAGATCTTGACCAATTTCAGCTCGGAAGCCATTAATAGGTCCGTTTCCACTTGATAGGTTGATGACACACCTACAACGAACCCCTTCTCTTAATTACGTTATAAACCTTCTCCCGATAAATCCTATTGTGCTCATTAATCAATATACAGTGTATACAATCAGTACTATCTCTATTATCCTTTAAGCATGTTATCCAACCAATAAGATCAAAGACTCTTCATCACAATACAGGGTTACCCGGAAAGGATGAGACTTCAATGATGACTGGTTTTAATTAATTGTTTTTTCTCCTCCATTTTTGTTTTCCTTCTATAAAAGATCAAAAACTACCACAATTTCTCATTTTAAGGGGTTGAAGTAAAAATAAACACAAGTTTTTAATTGTTGCAGGTTTGGCTCTGTGCTCAAAATATACCAATAGCTTGGTATATCCAATGGCTTGTTCTTGTGTTTACAAAAAACTAAACTTCCAAAACTGTCAAATGACCGATTTGAGTCAATTCGTTGAATGTGTTCGCGAAGCTCCAAACATTTCTGTTCTTCTAATGTTTATTTTATGAATTTCTTAGTGTCTGTTATAAAGTCCCCTATTGCAGTCAACAGAAGTTTTTTGTAATTTATCCACTAGTCCAATATATAGTCCCATAATTGTAGGTCTGGGTAGTGTTTAGTAGTAAATAGTTCCTGGAAGTACTACAGTGAAACCCTTAATAACGAATACATCGGAAGAATTTATCAAATGTCGTCTTGAAAATTTTTCAATGAGTTTTATACTATATTAGGTAAACTTCAGTAATTGCGAAATTAAATAAATAGCCATGAATATGCAGGAACAGTTTTAAAGAGTTCCATATAATCATTTAATTAAAAAACTAAATATCTGCAACACTCCATTATCAGAAAGTGAAGAATACGACATTTGATGAATTCTTTCGATGTATGCCAATAATCCATATATAATGTCTTTCTGTAATCCCTCTGCCCTTGTTTGCCAGTAATTAGGGGCTAGCACATTTTTTCTCCTCTTATAGTCTGCACAAGTCCTAATAGTCCGATATAATCCTTATTATTTCTTCAAGTTAAAAAAAATAAAATTGTAAGAACTTCTATAAGAAATGATGCACGAAGCGCCAAAGAAAAATGTGTGAGGGAGGGGGGCAAAATAGGTTCGCCCTCCCCCTAGATGCGCCACTGCGTTAAAATAAAGTTAATGTAACCAATACTAAAATAGTTGAAAACTTTACAGAAATTCTATTTAAAATTTTTTGACTAAATTCTTTTTCTTCAAATTCATTATACAAAGTTTGTTAGAAAATGCGCACAAAAATCGATATTCATAATAAAAAGTGTCATGGGAGGCACAAAATGCGGGGGGGGGGCGAAATCTAGTTGCGCCACTAAACACTGAAGTTTGTCAACACTTACAACTACATTATCTTTGAAACGAAAAAATCACAAAAATTAAGAATTCATACTTTCAAAGTTACGAAGTTGACTGTAACAAAACTTGCAAAAACGTTAATGAAACGGTCACTTTATACAAGGTCTTCTAATGTACTAATTAAAAAAAAATTAAACAATGAAAATACTTTTTTATTGATATATCTGAAAATCACAGTAATAATAAAATAAATTTAATATTTAATCATAAAACAATTTAGCAAAATTAAAACTCTAAACAAGAAAAAATCCAAAAAGAAATATTTAAATATTGAGAAGTGTGCCAACTGTGCTGATCTACTAAAAACTATAAATAAACCAAGAACCAAGAAATGGAGATTGTAGATGTTGCAAGTAATTAGAAAGATTTGGTCGATATAAAAAGCAAAATTATTTTTAAACACACAATCTTTAACAAGAATTTTAGCCGATCTATCAATCTAATATTCTAAAGATTTTGATTGGAGGCTTGAATATATTTACTAGTAAAAAATTGTTACGCAGAATAATTCTAAACTTTTCAATAACAGGCTCTACGCAATTCCTACGTAATGCTACGTATTAGATTTATAATCAGGTCGACTAGACTCTAAAGTCTCACTGGAGTCAAAAGGATTCTAAGGATTCCATGGAGACCAGGGAGTCGAGGGAACCCAGCAAGTCAAGGGATCACGGAGAGGACATAAAGAGTCTATGAAATCCATTTTTAATGGAGTTCACGGAGTCCAGGGATCAAGAGAAGCCCAGATATTACGTTGAATCCATCGAACCCATAGAATCCAGGTTGAATGGAGTTTACGGAGTCCAGGGATTAAGAGAAGCCCAGATATTACGATGAATCCATCGAACCAATAGAATCCAGGTTGAATGGAGTTAACGGTGTTAAGATCAATGGATAAAATAAACCTGGATTACTAGGAAGGAAATTCAGATAATCATGTTTTAGAGAGACAGATTAAAATTTTCCTAGATGTATCTTGAATATCTTGTACGGGAGACGAAATCACTGGGACGGGATGAATGAAATGTGGATGGGTGCAGACTGCGGATGAAGAAATGAAAATGAAAGATGTAAAAGAGTTTTGAGAAAATGAAATGAGGAAAGGGGTAGAAAGTAGGAATTGCTGGCTGATTGCTGTAAGAAATGTCTTGTTGAAGGGATGAATGGTAACTAAATAAGTGCTGGTTGAGAGCTAAGCTGAATGAAGACTGGATGACTGATGCCTGGAAAGATGAATAAGTTTAGGTTGGTCCACATAGTCTGGACCGTTCTTCAGTAGAGTATGAATACTAACTCCCAGCATAGCTGAAAATTTACTAATTAATCATTAATTTTTAAATACATGTAATTTGATAAAAATTAAGCTAACCTGTCCAGAACAGGATGGAAAGAAGGATCTCTGTGGAGTACTGTGCTGGAAGAGTCAGCGATAGTGCGAGCATAGCGAGTGACAGAGCAAAAGCGATGGGCAGGGCCAAATACCTGAAGAGTTCAAATAAATAAACATATGTTCAGTGAAGGTTCGTAATCACATTAAGTACTTCTTGGTGAAAATCGAGTATTCTTTTTCTCTTGGAGTATTGAAAACTCCTTCATAATCAACCGTTCCTCTCCTGGAGTCTTGGAGTACTGAAGAGTGAAGACTCCTTGGTTTCTAACCTTCCTCACCTAGAGTACTGGGGACTTCTTGGTAACTAACCATGTATCCTTCCTACCCTGGTGTACTGGGGGATTCCTTGGTAACTAACCTTGTATCTTTCCACTCCTGGAATACTGGAGACTCCTTGGTAACTAACCTAGTAACCCTTCCTCTCCTGGTGTACTGGGGGACTACTTGGTAACTAACCTAGTACCCTTCCTCTCCTGGTGTACTGGGGGACTCCTTGGTAACTAACCTTGTATCCTTCCTCTCCTGGAGTACCGGGGACTTCTTGGTAACTAACCTTGTATCCTTCCTCTCCCTGAGTGCTGGGGACTCCTTGGTAACTAACCTTGAATCCTTCCTCTCCTGGAGTACTGGGGGACTCCTTGGTAACTAACCTTGTATCCTTCGTCTCCTGGAGTACTGGGGACTCCTTGATAACTTACCTTGTATCCTTCCTACCCTGGTGTACTGGGGGACTCCTTGGTAACTAACCTTGTATCCTTCTTCTTCTGGAGTACTGGGGACTCCTTGGTAACTAATTTTCTATCCTTACTCTCCTGGTGTACTGGGGGACTCCTTGGTAACTAACCTTGCATCCTTCCATTCCTGGAATACTGGGGACTCCTTGGTAACTAACCTTGTATCCTTCCTCTCCTGGAGTACTGGGGACTCCTTGGTAACACCTTCAGTTGGAGAAACAACATGATTTCCGACAAAAAGATCCATAGAATCCTGAAATATATACGTTTACCTTATAAATCAGTTAGTTTACTTTTACTGTAACAAATAAACAATGACAAATGACCAATGAATATATAATACTGAACTTTTAACACCATCCTTTCTAATCTGGCTTAATCTAGTACCATGTACAAGTAGTATAACATTAAAAATATCACTCACCTGTCTAAACCCGTCTGCAAAATTATTCTTGAAATATCTGATGGCCGACCTCCGACCATCCTCCAACAATCCCATCTTCGTCCTTTGTCCTGTCCTCGTGAAGTCAGTCTTCAAAGCTCCTTTGACAAAAATTCAAATCAGATATGAAGTTTAGAAAATTTAATATAAGATTAGAAACGAAAAAACAGAGATTAGAAAATAAAATAAGGTTTAGAAAATAAAATAATAGAGATTAGAAACTAAAAAGCAGAGATTAGAAAATTAAATTACAGAGATTAGAAAATAAATTAAGTTTAGAAAACAGCAAAAGCTCAATAAAGGAAGTCTAGAGCGCACTGAACTACTAGTGTGGATAAAGAACTAAAGGTTTCGATGTTGAGTACTTGATCAAATATCGTCTTCGTTTGTGAACTCATTGCAATTGATATTCCTGTATACAGATCTTCCTCCCGTCCCAGTATACTGTATACTGATCATATACCTGTCCCAGTATACTGTATACTGATCATATACCTGTCCCAGTATACTGTATACTGATCATATACCTGTCCCAGTATACTGTATACTGATCATATACCTGTACAAGTATACTGTATACTGATCATATACCTGTCCCGGTATACTGTATACTAATCATATACCTGTCCCAGTATACTATATATTGATCATATACCTGTCCCAGTATACTATATACTGATCATATACCTGTCCCAGTATACTGTATACTGATCATATCTGCATGATCAGCCCAGACTGTCTTGAAGAGTTGTTCAACAGAAATCTGATTTTCAATCCTTAAACATAATTACAAATGATAGAGGGAACACCCTCACCTTGAACAAAATACAGATTTTGAGCAGGGGTGGAGGTTTTTTTAAAAAGATAATTAGTATATTTATATTTAGTTTTAATGCGATACAACTAAAAAAAATTCGCAATATTTGCCAAAATATCTATATTTAATTCTTTCTCTCTTGTTAACCCGAAAAGAAGTTTTTAAAACAAAAAGTTAAGAATTTTAGATTTTTTTCTTAAGTGAGTAAAAACCCACAAGTTAATTACCTGGCATTGTCAGGAAGGACACCCAGCCTCACCAGGATTGCCTGCAAGTTTCTTCGAGCCAACATGGATTGAACTTAAATAAAAAATGAATAAGTTTTTAGCACTCCAAACTATCAAAATTACATAAACAAATCTTGTTTTCTATGGGAACTGGGAAGCCCCATTTTTATTTATTTTTTTCCCTAAATTAACTTCGGGCCAACCACTCAAAACAACCAACCCTGGTTAGGCGGGTCCAAACTGCATAGTAAATTGTGATTGCTTATTTGTAATATCTCATGCTTTGTAGTTTAATAAAAATATGAATGAATGAATTAAAAATGGAAAAAGAAGCTTTCTCCCCCCCCCCCCCCCCCCCCTCCCTCGGTTTATACCCTTAGATATTACATAGCTCCTCGAGAAAATCCAACTATTCCGGGTTCGGGGTTAATATTGTTTAATGTTTACTTTCTCACCTACATTAGTTCTATCTAGACAATCTATACAGTTGGTTCGGAATACTCCAGTCTAAAGTTAAACACATAAAATTAATAAAATGGCGATTATGTGAACATTTCACGGATTATAAATCCATTAAAGAAGGCTGGCAGATTTTATAAGACATTCATGGTTTGTTGGAGTTCTACAGGTGTATTTCTTTTAATTGACTTTGCAATTTTATTCTTAAAGCAGATGTTGTTAGAACAATTCTAGGTCATCATTGAAATATTGCACTGCAAACTAGACAGAAGGAGACGTAACGTAACATCACTGGTACAACTTTGTGACCTCGTAGCTTCTCTAGTTTTGACTTTACGCACAAGTGTGAGAAAAACAATTTTTGGGGGGAATATATGATAGAAATTCAAAATATTTTTACTTTAGTTTGACGTGATCGGCCCGGTCTTCTCTTATATTTGTTCTAGACGCCNCCCCTGTTAGATATAGCAACCTCAGATTATACTATTCCATGGGGGTAGTAACTTTTGTGTGGATTATCGTCAATCTAAAACACTTGATCCCTATATCCAATGTTGGCACGTTGAAATTTGAGAATAAATCCTTCATCCTTCAAATAAAGTTGTCTCTACAGGGTATGATCACCATGACTTTAGATTTGATCTATTTAAAAGATTGAAAACTAGTTTGCTAATAATGCTACCTGTCTCAGCAGTGGAGTTCCATTCCTAGAGTGGAAATATTGAAACTGTTCTTCATACTGAGCTAATCTATCCATCAGTATACTCAACCTATCCCACCTATACACAATAATAATAATAATACTGAGTATACTCATTTACTCAACCTATCCCACCTAAACACAATAATAATAATACTGAGTATACTCATTTAATCAACCTATCCCACCTATACACAATAATAATAATAATACTCAGTATACTCATTTACTCAACCTATCCTACCTATACAAAATAATAATAATAATACTCAGTATACTCATTTACTCAACCTATCCTACCTATACAAAATAATAATAATAATAATACTCAGTATACTCATTTACTCAACCTATCCCACCTATACACAATAATAATAATAATTCTCAGTATACTCCACCTGTCCCACCAATAAACAATAAAATGATAATTTTATGAGGAAAAAATGTAATAATGGAAATTCTTAAACGAGATGAAATAATCTTGATGTATTCTTTATATTACCTCATCTTACTGCACTCCTTGTGAAAATCAAAAGCTTCGTAATAAACATCCTTGTTGTTCACCTGGAGACAGTTCAATAATCAGGAGGGTACAGTTCAATAATCAGGAGGGTACAGTTCAATAATCAGGAGGGTACAGTTCAATAAACAGGAGGGTACAGTTCAATAATCAGGAGGGTACAGTTTAATAATCAGGAGGGTACAGTTTAATAATCAGGAGGGTACAGTTCAATAATCAGGAGGGTACAGTTCAATAATCAGGAGGGTACAGTTCAATAATCAGGAGGGTACAATTCAATAATCAGGAGGGTACAGTTCAATAATCAGGAGGGTAAGAAATAAAAAACTAAGGATTATAAATTATCACTTTTTAAAGCACTAATAGTAATCAACAATTAACCTTCATTCGGTTGAAATCTAGGCCGCGATCCAATCAAAAATAACCGCCAAAGGTCAGAAATTAATGTTACAATTGAACAATAAAATTGAAGTTAAATATGAAAATGAACTTTGAGAGAAAAAAAACTTTTTAAAATAAATAAACGTGTTAGGTTTACTTAAATCAACATTGAAATCTTTTTTTCTGATCTAATCTTGAAGTATTTTTGAACTATTCCTGTTTGTGAATCATCTTTAAACTCGTCTCCAGTCTTCCTTCAGATTTCTTTTGATCAATTAGGTTTACAATAACCTGCTGTCCATACAGGGGGACCTAGAAAAATGTAATCAATCAATCAAATAAATGACAAGTAATAAATATTAGTAAACTAATAAATTTAAAAATCTAAAAAATATTAAATAATACATCAATTCGTATATAAAAGCATTGATAAAATTCAAAAATCAATTAAAAAATCAATTAAAAAATCAATTTACATATCAATTTAAAAACAATTAATAAATCAATTCAAAAATCATTTTATAATTTAATTTAAAATTCAATTCATAAATCAATTAATAAATCTAAGTCAATGCATAAATTTATTTATAAATGAATTCATTAATCAATTAATAAATCTATTTTTAAATCAATGCATAAATCAATTCATCATTCAGTTCATAAATGATTTCATAAATCAATCAATACGTCATCACTCAATCAATCAACCATATTCGTCTTGATCTTCAACCTTACTTTGTCTGGACTCTACCTGAGCCTGGAAATGTTTATTGAATGCCTCTGCATGAGGTTGATGAGGCTCCAGGGTTGGGGGAGGTTTATACTTCAGGTTCGGTCTCTGCTGCCAGAAGAGCGGGATACTTCCCCTAGTATGGATATAACTAGCAATATCCGTCCCAACCTAGACGGGGTAGAAGAATTGACAAATTTAAAGGAAGAATGTTGAATTTTAGAATTGAATGTCGGGCTAACCATAGATAGAACAGTGCTTGATGGTTGAAAGGCATGCAGCAAAGTATGGACTGATGGCTAGTATTTTTAATTCAGTCAAATTTTTAGCCGAGTATTTGAGAAAACCTAAAGTATACCAGTTTTGGTTTAAGAAAGCCGTTTCTGTCTGGCATAGATTGTTTAACTTAGATCATATTTTTTAAAATCATCAGAAAAAATAAGTGGATTTTGATTGATATAAATTATATATGATTAGTCCTAAGGCCATGAAATTTCTGATTGAATTTTAAAACGTTGTAATAAGAAAATAGTTTGCTAGACCTATTGTTTCCAAATATTGGAACAATTAAAGAAATATTTCCAACCTCAACAATTTGCTCCGTTTCTACATAGTTTGCTACAAATCCGTTCTCATCTGCTCCGCGGACAAACAGACGTGTTCCAACCCTCTCAGTGCTCCGTCTTAATCAAATACAATCTAGATTTCTCCATTGACATGTTTTTAAATAATTAATAAGAGCTGAAAACTTAAGAATGTTATAGAACAAAAAAAGACTGCGAGGAATATGTCAAAAATAGCCAGAACATATTAAGAGCTGAATATACATTGTTATAATGAAGAATATCAGTTTATTAGCATTCCATTTTTATAGTCTATAATTTTTCAAAGGTTTACATTGAATCGCTAATTCTAAATTATATTCAAATTTTAAAAAAACCTATTAAACAACAATCCATTTATGAAATATAATGTTGTTTGTATTTTGTTATCATATTTATGAAATATAATGTTGTTTGTATTTTGTTATCATATTTATGAGATATAATGTTGTTTGTATTTTGTTATCATATTTATGAGATATAATGTTGTTTGTATTTTGTTATCATATTTATGAGATATAATGTTGTTTGTATTTTGTTATCATATTTTTGAGATATAATGTTGTTTGTATTTTGTTATCATATTTATGAGATATAATGTTGTTTGTATTTTGTTATCATATTTTTGAGATTTAATGTTGTTTGTATTTTGTTATCATATTTATGAGATATAATGTTGTTTGTATTTTGTTATCATATTTATGAGATATAATGTTGTTTGTATTTTGTTATCATATTTTTGTCCTGATAAATTAGAATTTAGTATTTAATCAAATAGATTCTAGTTCAATAGAAGGCAACGTAGAATTTGTACACTCTCAGTACAGCTGTATTCTTAAGTCACAAGTGTCAACTTAGTTTTTGTGTCCGACAAAATTATTAATAATAGTGATAATTTTAGAATAAAGTGCTTATCTTACAGTAAAATAAGAGCACTTCGTGTTCTTTGTTTTCTGTTTTTATACTTTTTTCGTTTTCCTTGTTACATTTGACACTTGTGACGTAGTGTATAATTGGTCCATATTGTAATTGACAATCTATTTGGTATTTACCTAGATATGATCGACCAGATAAACCTGTGTCCTGAGATAGAACAGGAGTTTATACTCACAAACCCATGGATCACAGGGAGAGCATAACAGTGCAACTAAAAAGACAAATATTATAAATCTATGTAGTTAATCTTATCCATACATAGATGCAATCCTCATTTAACAGTTCAGGCAGGAGGATGAAAGTACAGAGCAGGGAGAAAGGAATAGAAGGGAGATATAACTGAGGCGGTTCGCCCTACCATATGATTATACATGCTTTGCAGACGGGTACTCCATTTGAATAAGAAATATTTGTCTTATGTATAATTACCGCGTATACAATAACCTATTCTGAATATTTCCTATACAAATGGAGTACCGTCTGTAAAGCATGTAAAATCATATGGCAGGGCGAACCGCGTCAGTTATATCTCCCTTCTATTCCTTACTCCCTGGTACAGACATAACTAATATGAAGCGGAATGAAAGTCGTCTTTAAATTATAAATATCGCTACAGATTTGTTCACGGAACATTTTCAGAGTTGTAAAAGTTACAAATTACAAAATCCATTACAAAATCTAAAGCTACGTTTCTAATTGAGAGATTGAAGAAAGACGACTTTCATGCAGTTTTATTCCGCTTTTTACGGGTTTTGGAGAAATAGACTCGTTTACAATTTGTTCTACTTACTTAAACTCGCCTAGGCTGCACAATGTACACCATTACAAATTAGCCGTTTTTTTGCTGACGAATTTATTTTTTATGTGGATTTTTAAAAAAAATTTGAGAAAAATCAAATATAAATGATAAGTAATTACTTTCGGGTTGGAGAGGAAAGGTTGGAGAAGATGTTTGTTCCAAACAAATCTAGAATCTGATCTCTCAAACAATGATTTCTGAAAATAAAAAATATATTGAAGTTAAATATCATTTAAGAATAGTTGACATCAAAATTAAAACTGAATGATCTAGAGCTCTCTAAAGTCAGCTAAATCTAGACGTTTGACATAATTGTATAAATCTTAGAGTATCTAGACGTTGTATAGAATGTCTGATATCATGTAGGAGAATTGAACTACCTGATAGAATGAATTCTCTAGATCATAGAGTGTCTAGAATGTCTGATATCGTGTAGGAGAATTGAATTACCTGATAGAATTCTCTAGATCCTAGAGTGTCTAGAATGTCTGAGATCATGAAGGAGAATTAAAGTACCTGATAGAATTCTCTAGATCCTAGAGTGTCTAGACGTTGTCTAGAATGTCTGATATCGTGTAGGAGAATTGAAGTACCTGATAGAATTCTCTAGATCCTAGAGTGTCTAGACGTTGTCTAGAATGACTGATATCGTAGGTGTATGAGAAGTAGAAGTATGGAGTAGATAACACCTGCTGCATCATAGCTGTGTACCTTTAATAAATGGTAGTCTTTATAAGTGTTAATAAATAAACGATTAACGACGTAATAACTATATTTTTTAAAAACTTAGCAGAGACTAGAACTTGTGGATAAGATAGCGTCTAGTCACGTGGACCAAAGTTAAATTCAGGGGATAAATGAGAAATCAAGCAGTGATTGAAAAATAATGGAAGGATGGGGTTGCTGGTTCAATGACATAAATTAAACCACCAGCACTGAGCGCGATTTGAAATGGTTAAACTTACAAAAGATTAGATCTCAACTTTGGTAAATTACATACGCGGATTATACAAGGATGAGATCTGCAAACAACCCCAGGCGACTACATATTCCTGATATATCGTAGGAATTTATATTAATCCTAATTCTTACTTTCTGTTTGCTTCCAGCTGTGTAGGTGTAAGATGATGCTCCGCCCTGGAGAAGGAGATAATCTCCGTCTCCAGGATTCTCCAAACCTCTCCTCCGCATACTGTTCCCTGGCGAACCTTCCTCGTTACTATGATCAAGTAAGGACCTGGAGAGTAATAAAATGTTGATATATCCGTATTCATATATTTCTCAAATCAAATTAAAATAAATCTTGATCCTACGTCCTAGCTACCTGAGATAAGGTTGATAACTCCACCTGAGAAAAGGCTGATAACTCCAAGTATATACTGATCCTACGTCCTAGCTACTTGAGATAAGGTTGATAACTCCAAGTATATCCTGATCCTTCGTCCTAGCTACCTGAGATAAGGTTGATAACTCCAAGTATATCCTGATCCTACGACCTAGCTACTACCTGAGATAAGGTTGATGACTCCAAGTATATCCTGATCCTACGTCCTAGCTACCTGAGATAAGATTGATAACTCCAAATATATCCTGATCCTACGACCTAGCTACCTGAGATAAGATTGATAACTCCAAATATATCCTGATCCTACGACCTAGCTACCTGAGATAAGATTGATAACTCCAAATATATCCTGATCCTACGACCTAGCTACCTGAGATAAGGTTAATAAATCCAAGTATATCCTGATCCTACGACCTAGCTACCTGAGATAAGGTTGATAACTCCAAGTATTCCATGAAAAGGTTTCCTGGAAGCAACTGGAGGAATCTGTTTCTGGTTTGGTTGGAGACTAATATCATGATTTATCCTGTCAATCACCAGCAGTAGCTGAAAATAAAAAGTTGTTCAGTCTTGCATGATATTTTTTACTATATGTTTTTGTCTAAAGAGAACATCATGTCATAGATACAATTTGAAAAATATAAGATTTTTGGGAAAATGGCTACTTGATGCATGGGGTCCCATTAAAAATGGCTACTTGGTACATGGGGTCCCATTAAAAATGGCTACTTGGTACATGGGGTCCCATAAAAAATGGCTACTTGATGCATGGGGTCCCATTAAAAATGGCTACTTGATGCATGGGGTCCCATTAAAAATGGCTACTTGTTACATTGGGGTCCCATGAAAAATGGCTACTTGGTACATGGGGTCCCATGAAAAATGGCTACTTGGTACATGGGGTCCCATGAAAAATGCCTACTTGGTATATGGGGTCCCATGAAAAATGGAAATGGCTACTTGGTACATGGGGTCCCATGAAAAATGGCTACTTGGTACATGGAGCCCCATGAAAAATGCCTACTTGGTAAATGGGGTCCCATGAAAAATGCCTACTTGGTACATGGGGTCCCACGAAAAATGTCAGACGAGAGACGACTTGCTTACAATATTACCGGAGATATGAAGAATTTCATTCAGATTTAATCAATTTAGGTTTTATTAAATAAATTTAAATTTGATCAAAATTCTGAAAATATTGAAAGCAAAAAAAAGGCAGACTACATTTTGGAAATGTCAGGAATAGGGGAATTTTGTTTCAAGAGTGAATAATGGAAAAGTAGGTTGACGAATGAATGCCGCGAAGTATTTTAAATATCAAAGACGATCTTCGACGCGTCGTCACTCAACTGTTTGTTGACACCCTGTATATTTCTCATTTCTACCTGCTGCTCAGATAAGGATTCAATAAAGAATTTATCCGGCGTGATATGAAGGATTAGATCATCATAGACCCGACTCATCTTCTCTGAAATATTAGAAACTAAATTTATCAAAACATTTATTTTCATCTTTTTATCTTCTTTTCCAGGTGTAATTTTTCCTGGCCCCTGATTTTCCAGGCTTCTTCCGCTCTCTCACACGTATATCCTAAACAGAACAGGTTTTGTTATAACAATAAAAACATAAAATAACAACAAAGAAGAAAAAAAATAACAATAAAATAATTAAAATAACATTATGAATAAAAATAACAACACAATAACTAAAAATCCAAAAGAACAGAAACTACAACAACTAAAGCAATAACAAAAACAATCATTTCAATTCCCGTAAATAGAAATTATAACACAATAATGTTTATGTTTATTTGGTGTTGATTCTCAGGACTCCTATTGGAGTATAATGAGAATTTCTTGATTTCACTGTCTGTAAATGATTTTAGTTCAGCTATAGTTCTGGCCATAATTGTTCATATTATTTACATTTTCACATGTTCATCGTACATTCATGAAAGTACAAGAATACAAATAAATAATATCCAACTGGATGGGTAAAAATCAATGTGAGAAATGAAAGAACAAAATCAAATAATTAGGCTGGCATGAAATAAATAATGTGTAAACATTAAACAATGATGAAATTATCTATATATTTATAAAATATTACCTGGGTTAGAAGTCCATTAATCTTCATATCATCTACAACTGATTTCTCAACAAAAGATCTGAGGCACATTGAGAGGGCGTACCTGACCGCCCCGGCCTGAGCGGACACACCCCCTCCCTTCACAGTGATATCAAGATCCACCAATCCAAGCAACTAAACAAAAAATATCTTGGAAAAGATGAAAAAGAGGAGAAAGTTTGATTATTTTCCATTTAGTTCAAAACTTCCAAAATAATCCTCACAGTTTAAAGGGACTGTTAACATAATTGAAAGAGGCACACCGTCCAATTCGTAGTCTGAGCAAAAATGATGGAATTATCCATGTTTTTCTATCTGAAAATTGTTTATTCTCATTTCAATTGGATCAGTTCATATCAATTTTAAGACAGAAAAATTCTCAAATCTTCCACATTATTCAATTCATCCAACAAAGGGCTATAGGGTACTGTTGTAAATAGGATGTGTAATTCTTTAATTGGAGGGTAGCTTAAAATTACGTCGTCAGTCCCATTTATGTAATTATTTATTTACCTTGGTAAACTGTAGAGGATACATGATGGCTAATCTCTCCTTGAGAGCAAAGAAATATCCTAGATCCATCAGATAATGAGGATGCTCGGCGTGTTTGATAACTACACCTCCTGATCCTGGTTTAGTCACACGAACATGAGCCCAGGCCGTCTTACGTTGACCCTAAACAGAAACAATGTATTCATCCACCAAGAAGGAAGATTCCTTGCCGACCTAATAGGAACTAAATTTAAATTTGAAAAAGGATTCCGAAGACCGCCGCCAGGTGAAGGACAAATAATGATCTAATGTCTGCAGGTTAATTGTTAAAAATATATTAGTGCTAGCTTCTATTTCAATTGTGAACATATTCTCTTTGTAAACACTGTAAAACAATAACAAACAAAATCGCTAAAAAATATCGAGACTTCTCAAAAAATAATGAAATCAAATTTTAATGGAGGCTAATTTTTTAAATTTTTATCATCCCACACAAAATTTGGACCCGATCGGTTCAGCCGTTTTGACGTTAATTGGTAAAAATAGACAAACAGACAGACAAGCAAAGTATATATATAAATAGATTTCTCAATAATTTTACATTGAATAAATTAGAAGTAGTTCAGAAGTTGATTCCGACCTTTCAGCTCTCTGTATGATGCACTGCCACACATGTAAATATTTTTTTGATGATATATAAAAACAATTTTATTGTCATATTTTGTGATTGAAAATACCTCGAACTCAACGAAGGCTCTTCCTTTCTCATCATGTTCAGGAACTAAATATGTTTGTTTACTTAAAGAGATTCCTTCAGATACACGATAACTAAATATCTCGTCTCGAACCCTGAAAACAAGAATATATATTTAAGTTTTGGAACAAGAAAAAGAAAAATTAAAAAATCATTATCACATTCCTAGTTTATTGCTAAATAATACAGCTATTTTAGTCGATTAAAGTTCATATCATGGGTTTGGACCGAACAAAAACATAGGAGGAAGAAACGCCCACTCCAAAGAGTAGAGGCCTGTTTTAAGGGCGTATGTGAAGAGTCCTACCTGTATGAAAAAGGAAGAGACACTAATCTCTCCAGGACATTTACAAACTCCCTGTGATCCGAGTCTGTTATGAGCTCTAGGGTGAGACTGGAGAGCTCGTCCTTGGTAATCCACCTTGAGTCCGCCATCTGACCCATATCCAGGACCTGCTGGGGGTCAGCTCGCTTACCCTGCTTAGCTAACCTCTCCCCAAATATAGTCACCGCCTCAATACTGTCTCGGAGTTTAAATATCCGGTTTTGTAAATCCGGTTTCCGGGTGTAGAAAAAGGTTTGGTAGGGTCGACCTTGAGCATCAAATTCAGCCTCTTTTTGTCTATAACAAAGAACGATGTGTGATGGGCGGGACAAAGAATGGTTATTTTTTGTAAATTTTATGAGATTAATTTTGCATTAGTTTCAACTTTTAGACAAAACAATTAAATATTTAGATATAGATATAGATATAGATAGATATTTTATTAAAAGTAAAATTAAGGCACACAAACATTTTAAAGAGAACATTTTGAAAAAAAACATGGTTCCAAACTTTCTTGAAAAATAGGCCTAACCTTGGAAATATCTCCTTAGAATGTTTCATGATGGGTCTAACCTTGGAAATATCTCCTTGGGAGGTTTCATGATGGGTCTAACCTTGGAAAAATCTCCTTGGGAGGTTTTATGAAAGGCCTAACCTTGGAAATATTTCCTTAGGAGGTTTCATGATGGGTCTAACCCTAGAAAAATCTCCTTGGGAGGTTTTATGATAGGCCTAACCTTGGAAATATCTCCTTGGGAGGTTTTATGATAAACCTAGCCTTGGAAATATCTCCTTGGGAGGTTTCATGATGGGCTTAACCTTGTAAATATCTCCTTGGTTATCTCCTTGGTAGGTTTCATGATGGGTCTAACCTTGGAAATATCTTCTTGGGAGGTTTCATGATGGGTCTAACCTTGGAAATATCTTCTTGTGAGGTTTCATGATGGGTCTAACCTTGGAAATATCTCCTTGTGAGGTTTCATGATGAGTCTTCCATTGGAAATATCTCCTTGGGAGGTTTCTTGATGGGTCTAACCTTGGAAATATTTCCTTGTGAGGTTTCATGATGGGTCTAACCTTGGAATTATCTCCTTGGTAGGTTTCATTATGGGTATAACCTTGGAAATATTTCCTCGGGATGTTTCATAATGGGTCTAACCTTGGAAATATCTCTTTGGGAGGTTTCATGATGGGTCTAACCTTGGAAATATCTCCGTGGGAGGTTTCATGATGGGTATAACCTTGGAAATATCTCCTTGGGAGGTTCATGATGGGTCTAACCTTGGAAATATCTCATTGTGAGGTTTCATGATGGGTCTACCATTGAAAATATCTCCTTAAGAGGTTTAATGATGTGTCTAACCTTGGAAATATCTCTTTGGGAGGTTTAATGATGTGTCTAACCTTGGAAATATCTCTTTGGGAGGTTAATGATGTATCTAACCTTGGAAATATCTCTTTGGGAGGTTTCATAATGGGTCTTGCTTCAGGAACTAGACCAGAGGGGAATAAGTATTCTATACTCTCATCTATATTCTCCTAAACATTTCTTTTATTTAATAACAATAATTTTTTCCTAACCCTTTTTAGTGGCATGTCCAGCAAACATGGTTTATAAAAGGGTCGGGAAAATTATCTAAAATTGAGTATCTTCTGGTTCTCAACGAATGCCTGCTTGCACTTGTGTTTTTAAAAGTTCTTTTTATAACAAGTTTATTTTATTTTCCAACCTGTGTCATAGTTGCATGATCCATCCCCATCATATTAGCAAGATGTTGCCGACCCATCTCAAACTCTGCCTCCTCACTGGAGATAAATATATCGTGATCACGCTTCCTCTGCAGGTAGAGACGCATAGCAGACGACATCTTCCGCTCCTGCTTCACCCGCTCTGATTCCGACAGGACGCTGGTCTCCTCCTGGGTGCTCCTTAGGATGGGGAAGGTTGATATCTGCGCCTTGAGACTAGAGAAGAGACCTGGGAGAAGGGTTGACCGCTGCCAGGTTCGGCAGACTGCTCCGGCCATCTTTACTTCTGAAAGAATATGAGATCACAGGTTAGGTTCAGGTACAGTACACAGTTTCTGATATCATGGAAATTATCAATATACAAAAAGTAAGAAACATATATTAAATAGTTTTAAAAAGTGTTTTGAATTGATCTTTAAGATCGGTCAATATTTGTTGGAATGATCGATAAAGTGCTGAGTTTGTTCGGTGCTCCCAGAGAACCCGGAGGAGTTGAATGTTTCATCCTCCTCGTCCTCCTCCTCCTCAACCTGCATATCGTAGATCCTGTGCCTCTTCCTGTTCATGAACAGCAGGATACTCACGTTCCTGGGTCCAGATACAGCCATCTGACACGCTCTAGAGAAGATAATTAAAATGATAAGCATATTAGAAAATAAACAAATGTTGAAACAACCAATTAGAAGATTTTAAAAATGCCGATGATAACAGAATAAATTAAATAGCAGGAGGGGGTTATACTATACTTTCAGGATATTTAGCTTTAAGAAAAAAAAAGATAATTAACACTCTAATTTGCATCTTCCCTACCAAAAAAAGCAATAAAAGACATTAATTGCAACTTCCCTAACCAAAAAAGCAATAAAAGACTTTAGTTTACAACTTCCCCTCCAAAAAAGGCAATAACAGACTTTAATTTGCAACTTCACCACCAAAAAAAGCAATAGAAGACTTTAATTTGTAACTTCCCTAACAAAAAAGCAATAAAAGACTTAAATTTGCAACTTCCCTTACAAAAAAAAGCAATAAAAGACTTTAATTTGCAACTTCCCTTCCAAAATAAAGCAATAAAAGACTTTAATTTGCAACTTCCCTACCAAAAAAAGCAATAAACACAATAGAAGACAAATGAATAGATAAGTATTATTACCTAATATTATCCAACTCTCTAGAGGATGCCCGACCTCCGACCTCCAAGATACTGTTCTGGGAGAAGGTAGGAAGGATCTTTGAGGTGAGAGGAAAAGGTTCCAGAGCTCCGGAGACAAGAGGTAGAGGAAGCTGTACAAGGGTTTGTTGTGCACCACACTCCAGAAGGACGGATAAAATATCCTAGGAAACAAATATTTTATTCTTATAATAAAGCTCTTCGCTCATACATATTTATTTGTTTATGTGTTTATGTTTGGATTATTTTCAGGACTCCTGTCGGACTATATAAGAAATTTCCGATTGTTGATGATATTCATGATGATATTCATGAGGGTGCATATATCACATTAATATTCAAAAAATATTATATTTTATATTTTTTTTTATTTTTTGTCAATTTTTTTTGAAGTACTTTAATTTTTAAATTTTTTGACATATTCTTTTTCTCAATTTGGCCGTTCTCTTTATTTTTCAGTAATATTTTTTTTGGCTCTTTTTGTTCCAACAATATGTTAATATGTTAGCTAGAGCTGGCAAAACGGCTGGACCGAATGGGCAAAAATTTGTTGAGAGAACCCTTGAGTACCCCGGGGGTAACATAGACTAAAAAATATATAATATTTTTCTTCTATTCTATTATTTTTTCCAAAATCCAAATTTTTCCACGGGAGACGCCAGGCACATTAGCAAGCAATAAATATTTTACAAAATTTCAAATATACAAAAAAAAACTTACGGTGATGCCAATACCAAACAATGTTCGAGTGGTATTTAAAATGATAAACTTCACCCCCCACATATAAAAAACAAGCAAAATATGTCTCAGATTAGTCTAATTTCAGGTGTAAAAAGTGCCTAGTTGATGGAATGTCGATGGGTCAATCCCTTAAAGTTTCTGACCTTAGTGTAAAAACAGAAATCAACAACTACAGTGCCTTGTTGGACCGTGAGCCAGGTTCCTCTGGGTTCAGGTTTAGGTTTGATTCCGTCCTGCTCCAGCTCCCAGTAGAAGATCTTCTCCCTGTCCCAGCACACAGATCCTTGAACTAGGTCACCTTCAACCCTTTGAGCACTCTGCAGTGTGGCCTCGAACTTGTCCTCTGTCGTGTCCTCTGAGATCGGAGGGTTAGGTAGGAAGGTGCCTGGAGAGAATTCCAGATTCATCTTTAATCTCGTTTCATTCGTCTTATCCATGGACATTCCGTTAAATATCTGAGAATAATTATATTCTTTACTTCTTCCTGTACAAGCAAACTATTTAACAAAACCGAGTGATCTAAATAACTCTAATAAACAAATGAATATTTAACTCGAAAATTTTCAATTCTGTCATTTGGAATAGCAAACTTTGGAATAATGCTATTAATAGTCCGTGTAATTAGAAAATAGAAATAGACCCATTCCCTTGCATATGTAGGAAACGCTAGAGTTCAGTAAATTACAAACTAGAGTGTAAATCAAAACAATAATAATACACTATCAACCATAAACCGAATTCGAAATAACAGAACTTAAATTGAAAAAACCCAGATGCAGGAGAAATCATCAATAATGGTACAGGTCGGGCTTAACCTCTAAATATATCTAAGAATATAGTATTACTAGATAAGAGGGAAGATTAAATAAATATTATTATTCCTTGTTGACAGCTGCTGACAGAAGATTAAACTCCTTGACTGCTGAGGTTTTAGTATTTACAGGAAGGATAAACGGAATGTTTAGCAGCTCAGGGTTCTCCTCTAAAGAGAAAAACAACACATCAATCAATCAATCAAGCAACCATCTTTTAAGAAATTAAATATTTAATCAATAAACCAAAACCTCGTAATTTGTCGAACAAACAAAAAACAATAAGGACGATATATTGAAAATTTTAAGATTTACGTAAGTTTACTTACTCAGCAACTGATTCCAGATGTTTCTAGTGTTATCTGGAGGTTGAGAGAGATCTTCTTCCTTCAGATACTGTCCAACCTTCTCCAGGTACACATTACTACAACAGGAGATATTAAACCTTCTCCAGGTATACAATACTACAACAGGATATCTGTCCTTCTCTAGGTATACAATACTACAACAGGAGATATCTAACCTTCTCCAGGTACACATTAACAAAACAGGAGATATTTAACCTTCTCCAGGTATGCAATATACAACAGGATATCTGACCTTCTCTAGGTATACAATACTACAACAGGAGATATCTAACCTTCTCCAGGTACACATTAGCAAAATAGGAGATATTAAACCTTCTCCAGGTATGCAATATACAACAGGAGATATTAAACCTTCTTCAGGTATACAATATACAACAAGAGATATCTAACCTTCTCCAGGTATACAATATACAACAGGAGATATCTAACCTTCTCCAAGTATACATTACTACTGTAGGAATAGGGAGACCAAGTTAAACTACGTAGAACGTGAGATAATGAATATTCACCTTACTCCTCCTCCAGTAGAGTTCAAGTTCTTATTCTCGAACCTCCGGATAAACTCCGCAATAAACATGATATCCTGCTGCGTGGTTCTCTTTAACTCCTCCGGTATCTCTCCTCCACCCCTCCGAACTATCTCCGTGTACAACCAGCGGAAGAATGCCTTGAAGTTCTTCATGGACTCGTCAATAACCTGCTGGAGTTCAACAGCTTTGGACCAGAACCTGGCAGAGCAGTGCAGAGCTTGAAATACAACATCTTCGGATACTCCTACAAATCAACATTATCATTTAACATCAAAACACGAATTTGATAGACTTAGGCTCCATTATACAGATTGGAGACAATACATCTGTAAAACCAAATTAAATTATGTGCCGTGTTAAGTGTTGTTACAAAATGGTAGGTTAAAAATCTAGCTATTAGTTTCTTAATTCCGTATTCATGTAAAACCTTCATGATAATTATAAGACGAACGGGTACAGAAACGTGCTGTGAATCTAATAACAGGACTGAAGGGGAAATCGTACTTGGAGAAACTACAGGAACTAGGTCTTATGTTATTGAAAGCAATATGGTCGAGGTTTGATCTATTGCAAACCTTCAAGATCATTAAAGGGTTCGAAAGAGTAAACAGAGATATTTGGATTGAGTTGGTCGGACCTGATAATCCCAGACCTACTAGATTGACCTCCCATCAATTCAACATAATCCCTAAACCTTCAAGAACGGATCCTAGATTAAAATTCTTCTCTAACAGGGTTGAGAACTCTTGGAACACCCTCCCAGCTGAGATTAAGGATGCTAAATCAATTAACATGTTTAAAAACAAGCTCAATACAAACTTGAATAGTTAATTAATCCTTTAACTATAGTGCCAGGTCCAGGGTGCGCGGAATTGCCTGAGTATTTTCTACAGATGACGACCTGTACTTTGGACTGTGGAGGCAACTACAGCTAGCCTCATCATGCTCCTACCTGGAGTTCTGAGTATCACCACCCAAGAAACCAAGTGAGTGAGAGTGAGACTGATCAATTATCAAAAAAAAAAAAAAATTTCAACATTATTTTACCATTTTACAGATTAACCGGGTATGATAAGAATTTGAACTCAAACTATAATTGATTGAAAAGTATATTGACCCCAAGATATTTACTAACCTATGACTGAGAATCTTGGACTGGCTCTGGCAAGACCAATAAGTTCCCCGAGCTGGAAATGAAGACTCTGACAGACAGGATGAAGATACCGGATTACAAACCTCTGAATGTTGGAGTAACTCAGCTCTATAGACTGACCCATTCTAGAAAACAAACATTGAAAATAAATCATCGTAACAATATTTAAATTCCATAACAAGATTATGCTTTTTAAATACGAAATTAAAATTACTTTTTTTCAATGGACAGAGGATCAGAAAAGAAAAAGTTTTTAGCAAATCTTACTTGAAATGATTTAATAATTTAATATAATTTGAAAAGAAAAATGCTCTAACCTTTTAAGGCCCTTTTCCGTCATATCCTCTCGCAGAAAAGTTTCCAGTTCTGGAGTCAAAGTTCCAAAAAGTAAAAGTCCCAAAAAATCCGCAGCAACAGTTCCTGGAGGGTTCATCTCAGCATATCCAGCTAGTTTAGTATCCATCTCCAGCAGGATATTCTCCCAACTCTCCCTTTATTAATATATTAGTTTAGTATCCATCTCCAGCAGGATATTCTCCCAACTCTCCCTTTATTAATATATTAGTTTAGTATCCATCTCCAGCAGGAAATTCTCCCAACTCTCCCTTCATTAATATATTAGTTTAGTAACCATTCTGGGAGAATATCCTTCTACTCCCTTTATTAACATATTAGTTTAGTAACCATTCTGGGAGAATTTCCCACTACTCCCTTTATTAATATATTAGTTTAGGAACCATTCTGGGAGAATATCCTACTACTCCCTTTATTAATTATTAGTTTAGGAACCATTCAGGGAGATTATCCTACTACTCCCTTTATAAATTATTAGTTTAGTAACCATTCTGGGAGAATATCCTACTACTCCTTTTATTAACATATTAGTTTAGTAACCATTCTGGGAGAATATCCTACTACTCCCTTCATTAACATATTAGTTTAGTAACCATTCTGGGAGAATATCCTACTACTCCCTTTAAAAACATATTAGTTTAGTGACCATTCCGAGAGAATATCCTACTACTTCCTTTATTAATTATTAGTTTAGTAACCATTCCGAGAGAATATCCTTCTACTCCCTTTATTGACATATTAGTTTAGTAACCATTTTGGGAGAATATCCTACTACTCCCTTTTTTAATTATTAGTTTAGTAACCATTCCGAGAGAATATCCTTCTACTCCCTTTAAAAACATATTTTTTTTATATTAATAGATTGTAAATATTGAGAACTATGTGACACATTTTAAAAGTTAAGGTTAATAACCTCACATGTGCATCGATATTTGTCTCATTTTTTTAAGAGAAAAACGGCGATTTCACTGCTATCTATAAACGATGGCAGTGTTGTGAATAGTTGATGGTTACCCACGCTTGGTCGTAAATAGCGATTTTTGGACCCACTCAACTTAGAATCTCAAAACCAAGCTAAGAGCATTCCAGTGATTTTCCCGAGTTCCCAAATCAAAATTGGAGGCAAAGTGGTGAAGGGGTTTATGAGTTATGATCGGACATCCAAACAAACAAACAGAGATTACAACTTTAAAAATATAGATGTACATTGTACCTGATTCTACTGAGTGTATCCTCCATGTACTGTATTGTACCCTGGATAAGATTAAATTTGGTCGCTAGGACGGCCAGCTCAGCCTGGCAGGTAGATACTATAGAACACTCAACAAAAATCAACCTGGAACAGTTGATCGTAGATTGGTTGATAATTCAAGAAGGAAATACCAATGCTAGCAGGACTGTAGGCATAATTTCAAGTGACCCTACAGTTAACAAAAAAAAGAGTAGCATTTACGATTTACAACGTTACCCTTCCATTTTTGTCGAATCAAGAATGAACAAAACATTTCTGTTAGTCGAGCTAAAATTTGATTAATTTCAATTTTGGTTTCTATATAAATTGACTTGGGCATTTTTGCTTAAAAAATGGAGAAAATTATAGATTCAACATCCTATTAGATAAATCAAAGAATAGGTTTAATTGGTATGAATTAGATATACCCATCTGTAATTAATGGGTTTCAGGATATTAATTCAACAGTTCCTTAAACCAACAAAAATAGTTGATATGTTGATAATTAGGAAAATGTAAAAATTTCAGCCAAATGGTTAAGAGTTTATTATTCATAGTTAATTAAAAAGATTCTAATGTCCAGCCTAACTCGCGAATATTTAACATTTTTTGATGAAATAAGGTTGGGGGTGTCGGGGGGGGGGGGGATATCATTTACCTTGTAGTTTCCTCCTGTTCAATAATACAGCTGAATGTTTTAAGATCACTGGCAAGCACTACATTCAGAATCTGACAGGGGGCTCCGAGCAGGTCGGAGATAGAGAGACGAGCACACATTAGGAAACCACTGATCAGAACATAAATACTCCCAGTTCTAGTTCCAACCAAGAGAATAGTTACACTCGAACTCTCATCCAACTTCCTAGACAGGAAACAAACTTATAAACTTTACTTCACATTAGGACATAAATCAGGGATATTTAATAAAAAAGCACAATTTCAAATCATCCCAAGCTCAAAAATATCTGTTAGTTTTACTTTGAGCTGTAAAAATCCCGGTTATATAACTAATAAATTGAAGAGAGCGCAAGGATGACACGCAAAATCGTGAAGCGTTATAGAGAAGGAATTTTATAAAAAATCGTCAAACTTTTTGTTAATGGGTTTAAAAAGTGTTCATGAGTTTTAACCTGGGGTGAAGAGACTATGTTTAAAAACCATCCTCAACGGTTTCTATTGTGTAATGTGATTGGATTTTTTTAAAATTTTTAAATTCTCTTGGTAGAAACAAGAAAAGTACAAACCTGCAATCTTGTAACTCATCCTCCCCATTCTCATTGTAACTGTAGATTTTATCCAAGGATGGAAGTTTCGACATTAGATCCCAGTTGAAGTCTCCTAAAGGACTGTATATATCATCATCCTAAACAAATGTACAATATCATGTACACTGTACGATGTACAATGTACAGCCGGTGACCAAAAACGAGACCTCAAAAAAAATTTCTTCTCACAAACAAGAAGTTATAAAAGACCCCCCGGCCCTCCCCGGCCCTCCCCGGCCCTAAACGAAATCCTGACCAGGCCGCCAATTCAATAAAGAACAGTTCACTAGATCTATCCATGATATCCAGGATATTTCTGCATCTACCTGCTCTGTATATATCAAACCTTTGAGATGAATCCTGGTGGTCGATCTATCCATGATATCCAGGATATTTCTGCATCTAACTGCTCTGTATATATCTATCCTTTGAGATGAATCCCGGAGGTCGATCTATCCAATATATCCAGGATATTTCTGCATCTGACTGTTCTGTATACATCTTACCTTTGAGATGAATCCTGTTGGTCGATCTATCCGTGATATCAAGAATATTTCTTCATCTAACTGTTCTGTAAATATCTAACCTTTGATATGAATCCTGGTGGTCGATCCAGGATCAGGATATCTCTGCATCTAACTGTTCTGTATATCTTACCTTTGAGATGAATCATGGAGGTCGATCTATCCATGATATCCAGGATATTTCTGCATTTAACTGTTCTGTATATATCTTACCTTTGAGATGAATCCTGGTGGTCGATCTATCCAAGATATCCAGGATATCTCTGCCTCTAACTTCTCTGTATATATCTTACCTTTGAGATGAATCCTGGTGGTCGATCTATCCATGATATCCAGGATATCTCTGCATCTAACTGCTCTGTATATATCTTACCTTTGAGATGAATCCTGGTGGTCGATCTATCCATGATATCCAGGATATTTCTGCATCTAACTGTTCTGTATATATCTTACCTTTGAGATGAATCCTGGTGGTCGATCTATCCAAGATATCCAGGATATCTCTGCATCTAACTGTTCTGTATGTATTGCTTGAGCGGACTCTATATGCCGTATAGCCAGGAGTCCGGAGGAGTATCCTGCAGCTACAAGTTTACCGTCAGGTCTCCAACTAGATAATATCAGAATCAGCGACTCATTCAATTGATAATTTTCCAAAATAATGACAAATAGGTTCCGCAGGTAAAATCTTTTAATGGAAACTTCAGGATTGAGGGAATATAATTATTTTTTGGAGAAAATCTAGATATCTAATAACTAGCATCAGAAAATTGTTGAGCAAAGCATTAAGGAAAATGTAGTTTACTACTGTACCATTGTACTGTACCTGAGTGCAGTACAAGTAGAGTCCTCGTGTGATGGTGCAGACCAAACCTTGTGCCATTGTAGACGATACAAACTAACATCTCCAGTATCCGTTGCTGGAATATATATTCATACAACAACTATGTAGTTCATGGAATATAGGTTCTAGCAAATAGATTATCAAGTACAATAGGTGGCAACAAAGAAATGGATCAATTATACACGACGTCACAAGTGTCAAATATAACAAAGGAAACGAAATTTTCTCACATTATTTGACATGTTTTTCAAGATTAAATAAAAAAGTGTAAAAGCAGGAACACATAAAATTGCCCTTATTTTACTGTAAGATAAGCACTTTATTCTTCAATTATCACTATTATTAATAATTTTGTCGGACATAATACTGAGTTGACACTTGTGATGTAAGAATACAGCTGTACTGAAAGTGTACAAATACTACGTTGCCATCTATTGTACTTGACAATATATTTGCCCAGGTTGTATTAACCAGTATATGATCCTAGCAGGACCCCTACCCTAAGGCTCACATCTCATTATCTAATGGGGGTACTAAAGGGTCGGATTACTTGATTTTTTCTAAGGCCACTTACGAGGACAAATGAGGCCCTTCGTTATAAATAAATAAATAAAACTAACCATAGGTATTTTCCTGAGCCCCCACCCCTCCTCCCCCCCACCCACACCCGTCAAAAAAGTGCAAACAAACTAGAGAATGAGGGGGAATGATAATTAATGAATAGAGAAAATGAAAAGTTGGACATTAAAAGGCAAGTTAAATTATCCTTTATAATGCTTTTCCCTCAAAAAATCAGTTATTTACCATTAAAAATCATTTATTTCCCCATTTCAACGAAAAAATCACTAACTTCGGGGGTCGGGGGAAATGATTTTTAAAGAGAGGGGGCCGACGAGGGGGAGGGTGAATCATGTAGAAAATATAAACCCATGTGTTGTTTGACAATAACCTTACCCGTGGCTATAATATCCATCTTTGGAGACCAGAGCATAAGCTTGATCTGCTGCACCACCTGCCTCTCATCCATCTGCCTCATCACCAGGTTCTGCGCCATTTTATCTGCAATAAATACATCTTTCTCATCTTAGCATCTTCATCTTAAAAGGGACAGAAGGCGTATTCAAAATTGACCTTTCTTACAAAGAATGGGATGTCCGTCTTACAAAGGTGCCCTCTAAAAGTTTTGACGGATCAATAATTGGAATTGGAAGTTGATCATTTTCAATTGAGGTTTCTCTATAATGTGACTTTTCAAGCTTGAAAAATCGACGATATCTTCCAGAATTATTGATCAGATAAAGATTGAAAGGGTACCGTTGTGAATCGGGCATGATCCTCTGTACATAAAAAAGATCCGTTGAAATTACGACATTCCTTTCATACCTTAACCGTCAGATCTTGATATTGCTGAATTTTCAAGTTTAAGATTTAGTTAGATCTTGATAATTACAACTTAGTTTCATATTTCGGTTTCTTATCTTTATACCCAGATCTAGATAAATCACTGTCTATATCTCTATGGGATCCAAACAGAACCTATCATTCTTATAGGCTGGAGAACCTTGTATCCTTCTACCCCGTTGGTTTACGGAGAGAGGAAGAAACGCAGATCTCATTGTTATTCCTTTCCCTCCCGGAGTATACGCGATAAACACACACTCCTCGTCCCGTTTGGGTGTAACCATCACCCAACCTGCTGAGCTCAGAACTATATCTTTACTCCCGACCTTGTCGCTCACTCCGGTCAATCTAACCTCTTTCCCGAGCAGAGAAGGAAAACTTCGCATTCTCTTCAATCCACCTTATATATAAAAATATAAAAACACAGTAGTCACTGTGAAGTTTAAATATCTTCTTAATTTCCATAAATTTTTTTTTTTTTAAATACAAAAACATAAAAGTTTAAAATCTTTAGTTTTTTCTTTGTAAGAGGTATTTTAATTGGTTTAATTGGTGTGTTTATGTTTATATATCACGAGTGTGATATTTAAAAGATCCTTGAAAAAAGTCCTTTAAAAAATATATTGGTTAGAATACTAAAACTATTTTCCAACAAAGACTTAATTCGAGAAGATTAACATGATATCCATTATCCAACCCACCTTCAGGAACTGTGATAAGTTTAGTAACCGGAGCATTGTTCAGAAACTCTTCAACTCCCTCCGTCTCAACCACGTTGATAGAGAGCTGATTGGTGCAGAATACGGTCACTCTGACAGGAGGAAGGTCCCGTCCCTCAATATAGTCTAGTCGACCCAGCCCGCCCAGTAGGAGGGTGTGTCCTACCCGGAGTAGGAGGGTTCGAGGAATCAGGGGAGAGGTTGGTAGGGTTTTATTTATCTCCTCAGCTGTGAGAAGATTGATTATTTGATCTTCGGAGACTGTTCCAGGAGAATCATAACACCATTTACCGTAACTAAACAAAAGAATATAAAAATTAAATTAAGGGCATAAAGGAAAAAAATTATTTGCAAATAGTGAAATGAAAAGAAGAATAGATCCCCATTACATTAATTAACAAATTTTAAGATGGAAAATCGAACTGAGCAAATACAAAAGAGATGCTAAATCCTAGTTACTGTTAACTCGGAAAATGAACTGAGCGAATATAAAAGAGATGCTAAATCCTAGTTACTGTTAACTCGGAAAATGAACTGCTGTGGAAAACATGAATATCCAAATTGTATTTAAAGTTTAGGTATTATTTTATTTTAAAATTGGAGTAAGGGTTTGTTTAGGATATTTGTATTCTTGATAAGTTTTATTTTTAACCACAGAACATAAAGATAAGAAAACCTGAACAATTGATTAAGAGGATCCAAAACCTCCGGTATTTCAGGTATCACGTCCTCAACTTCGGTTAGCCCCATATATCCACTCTGAGGCTGTCGTTCTAAATATAAATAAAATCTTCATCATTTGGTTTGGTATCTCCCCCCCCCCCTTCTATACTGGGATTATTAAAGAGGTATACAACCCTTTAAAAATGGCATAAAAGAAAAATTTCATTTAACCCCTTCAAAAATTCATAAATCATTTACGAACTTTAAATTGTGAACACAAATTAATCAAATCTTACGTTTTTAAGATAACATAAAATTCTGCAACTACGGATAAGGGACGCTAAACCCGAGTGTATTTAAAAAAATTGGTTGTTTAACATCTTTACCTTTTAAAGAATTTTTAAGGGTGTGTGTTATTGTGTATGTTGTGGGCAGAGCAAACTCGATTTTTTTAAATCTTGATAGATTCTGTAGTCGCTCTAATCAATAATACTTTTGTTCAGTCAGTCAGTCAGATTATTATACAGTAACGAGGTGGTTTAAAAATAAAGAAAGTAAATAAAATAAAAATATGTTACTTTACGATACATTTTTTCATTGGATCTTTTTTAAATAAACTTATAAAAAAAAAGAATGCTTATGTGATTTTTATGTTGTTGGCTTATTTAGTTGAAGAACCCGAAACGTTTTAAAAGAAAGCCAATTGTGCGTTGATAATAAGATTTTATTTAAATAAACAAGAAAGCGATAACATAAAAAAGGCTCTTTGTAGAAAAGTTTTAAAAGAAAAAAAGTATCAACAAAAATGAATATTCCTTGTTCTTGTAATGATATTGCGTAATTAGCCTGAGCTACTCGGGCAGTTCTGAAAATAAACAAGTCAATCAATCAACAAATTAATCATCTAAAAACTAAAGATGCAGTCGATAGAAGAAGCATTAAGAAGAATCCAAACCAACACGCATCCAATAAAATATTTTAAACTCATCCATTAGACAATAAACCACTGAATAAACTCCATAAATCAATCAATCGATCAATAAAGCAATCAATCAATCCCTCTAAAAATCAGCAAATAAACCAAACCCCGAATTAAGCTATCAATCAATCACTTGAGAGATAAATTAACCCAAGAACCATTAAAGTCGGAAATATACTTGGATAATTTAATCATGAATTGATTTCTTTCTATCTACCTATCACAGATGAATTGAGGTTCAGGTCTGGTGACCGGAAACTTGAGAAGATTAAGGGTTGTGCCGGGTACAGGACTAGTGATAGCTTTCTGTACAAGATCAAGGGCGTGGATCTAATATTAATTTTATGAATCTTTGTTCAACTTCATTAAATACTTAGGGGCCAAACTCAGAGGTAAAAACATACATTTAAAAAATACAAATTATTCAGTTAAAAGATTAAAATTTAAATTTCTTGATTGATTTATAAATTCCTTGCAAAGATCAGATTCCAGCAGCGTATTAAAGATTGAAGATTTTCCCACATTTGTACAACCTAAAAATATATATTTTTTTCATGGATTGACGACGTAATATTTTAAAAGATATAATATTTTTTTAGGACATCAACAATTGACGACGGTACTCCTTTAATAAAAAAATGGATAACTTGCGGCAGCAGTTTTCCTAAAAGTGTATCTCAACAGAACAGAAAATGAACAAGGCGATATATAATTATAAAACTAGTCTTAAAATGGAACTATAGAGAATGTTTGATCTGTTAAATGGGACTGGCGTTATAATTTAAAGTGACCCACCGTTTAAAGAAGGCTATGTCCGATTCACAACGGTACCCATTAAACCATAATCTAATCAATAATGTAAATGATATCGTCCATTATTCTAGCTTGAAAGTATTCTCGCAATGTCCTCCACCGCAGTTAAAGCAAGACCTGCAAGTTCCTTTTCATAGAGACACCGCAATTGAACATTATAAATTTTTAGAAAGAATGACAGGGTTTACTCCGTTTAAAAAGGGTTTCAAATGGTTCCGTTTCGTATCGAACATGAACCAATCTATAAATATGACCCAATCTATATATTGGGTCACTTAAAATTATGTTTACAGAAGTTTAAATACGTTTACATCAAACATAATTTTGATTGTAATTATTTGTCGATACAAGAACAAAATTCGAACAATTTATTATGTAAATAAATATATTTTTATTTGCTAGATACCTAGTATATAAATATCTCCTGGTAAGGAATTATTGTTCCATCTCCAATATCTGAATATTTTATCGATTAGAATCTCCATGTTAAACCCAGTTTTAGCACTTACACATAGGGCACTAAACCAACAAGTGTTATTATCATTATGAAATTAAGTTAGGAAAAATCATAATCTAAGTTTTTCGATTATTCAATTTGTAGTAAACTTTTTAGAAAACTCATCATTTCAATTCAATTTTCTAATATAAGTTCAAGCTTTAAATTCACAAAGGTGCAATATGTTTATTCATTTACATCCCCCTCGAAACTTTATTAATAACACTAGTTTTCCTGATTAATTTAGGAAAAATGCTCCCGTTGGATTCGTTAAAACATTTTTTGAGGAACTCTTCTCTGATGATTTCAGTAATATTTCTATAATCCAGAATAAAATCAACATTTTCATCACTTTTAAAAATAACTTATCAAAATGAATTCAAGTAACTTATAAGTTCATGTTAAAGGGAGTGTTTGCGAAAAATGAAAGGGGGTATAGGCTTAATGCGATAAAAAAGCGCTTTTGATCGCCACTAATCTTACTTCTATCTGTTGCGTCTGTAAGGAGAAAATTGTTAAAGACGTCTCATACCGAAGAACGTAGTGTCCATATAAATTCAGAAAGATGCAACATACGACTTAGACCGTAAAAAAAATCTATTTAATTTCAAACAAATCATTCAGATATTACAACCTATAGTTATCGATTATTTGAAATTACAGTCCATTTAATAATGATTTTATTCTGTTTATGCCTGATATAACGGGATTGGTCCGGGAGCAGTAGGTCAACCTTGTTTCCGACTAAAATTATTTTTTTATTTTTCCCGAGTAGATCAAGGATATTTGGCCAGACGGAACCCGGAAAATCCAGGAGATCAACCACCAGCAGAATCAGAGCATCCTTGTCCTTTAGGTGCTCAATAGCTTTAGGATAATCCTCAGGAGATACGGAAACCTGAGATAGAAATTTATAATTATTTATGGACAAGAGAGGACTAAAGACAATATGAAAGGTATGAATAAATGAGTTGAACCCGTTCGGCCCCTAGGGCTTAGGATCCATTTAATTTTGATGCAGATCCGGATCCTGAATTCGCATTGGATAAAAATTGATCCGGATCCAAATCCGCATCCGGATCCAGGTCAGATTTACTGATTTATTTTTAACAGAAAATGAATTTGCAAATATTTTTTATTCTTTTCTTCCTTTTTTATGCTACAACTTGATAAACCATTCAGAGATTATGAAATTTAACAGTTCAAATTTAGGTTTTGAGAGCAAAAGATTTTTTGCCCCTTGGATCCCGGATACGTGGATCTGCATATTTTAGCTGATCCGGATCCAGGACGTAGATCCCAAGTACTGTCGGCCTGATTAAGACATCTTTTGCAGACTGGTAGTCCATTAAAAAAATGTGTTTTTTTTCTTGGCATCAAGGAAGGGCTTGCCAGAAACAACATATTTATATTTAATAATCTCCATCTTTCTTAAATGTCAGGTATGTTGCGGTGCGCAAATTGTATTTTTATGGTTTCATTTAATAAATTGGGGAAAATATATGATTTTTTCAATTATAAGGGTTTATTCTTGACACCCTTTCTTTGAACTTGGTACTGCTGTTTAAATTTTAAAAATAAGATTTAAAGTTAAGAACTTTAACTGAAACCAATTTTAAGAAATTGGTCATTCAATTACCTTTAATGCAATATTGTATTCTTTAATAATGTAACATCGTTGGCATAGAGATCTTCTGAGTTCTTCCTCCTTCTTCCCTTCCAGGAGCTGGGACGGTATATATCCAGGTATATTCTCAGCACTGAACAGAATACTAGGAGCTAGGACGGTATATATCCAGGTATATTCTCAGCACTAAACAGAATACTAGGAGCTAGGACGGTATATATCCAGGTATATTTCATCTCAGTTCAATTCAAAAGAATACTGTTCATTTATATACCTGAACCGAATTGGTTAACAAAACCTCGAGAATGTAGCAAACTGTTCACACGGGTGTAAAGCTTGTTTTGAAAAAAAATCCCCCCCCTCCCCCCCAATACCATTATACAAAACAATAACCATTGAAAAAAGATTTTAAACACGTCAAATTCAGTTTTTGAATATTCTAAAAATGAAAGTAAAAATTGTCGAGATTTTTTACGAGTTTTATTTTTGAAAAAATTGTGTCTTAAACAGGAATTTATTAGTTTTAAAGCTTACGTCGAGTGAAGTGTTGCTCCACATCCACCGCAAGGTATTTTACTAGGCTGCAGGGACGGATTTGGAGTTCCGAACTTAAAGAGATGATCTTCACTGAACTGATCCCGAAGCTCAGGGTTCGCCAGATCATTCCTGATTACGTCATAATCCTCGGAGGAGTAATCTTCGGATTTAAGTCCTTCTCTTTCGAGTTTTCTTCTTCCTCTCCTTCCTCTACTAGTGGAGCTGGTGCTAGGACCAGGCACTAAATAAAAAACCAGATCAGACACATTCATGGCAAAGAAAACGATTTAGCTAAGTTACATTTCATTAAATATATTTTAAATTGGTAAGGATGAAAGTTGGAAATTACGAGCCAAACTACAAAGATTTATGATTAATGCTAAACATTATAAGAAAATCTTCTCTTACATATATGAAAAAAAGTTTTAGCTGACTTCTACTTAACAATTCATTTATTACTAGAAGCGTACAACCTCCAATATGAACGACGAACGTTTTATCTGTCCAAGGATAATATAAATATTAAACCTGGTTTAGTATCTGTAGGTTGCTGATGTATATCCTGGTGTACACTGTAGGGAAAGCTCACCATCTCCTCCTCCTCCATGATGCTGGAGATCCTTCCCTCTAAGGTGTGGGTGGTCAAGGCCTCGTAGGTTTCCTGGAACACAATCTCAATAACAGAAACTGCAAAGTATGGCAGCAAAGTTTGAAGTTAGCCTTGTACGTCATCAACAGATTTTTCAGAAATTTGTTTTCACATCTACAAGTGGACAAGCCAAGACTTTTGTTCTATATATGCTTGAGAACCCAGCGTTGCCTAGGGTACTCAAAGTTACTCACGCCGTTTACCCGCGATTGGTCGTAAATTACAATTTTAGCCATTTTTTCCTATAAAAGACCCACTCGACTTAGAATCTTAAAACCAAGCTAAGAACATTCCCATGTTTCTCCTCAGTTCCCCAAATCAAGGGGTTTATGGGTTATGATTGGACATACAACCAAACAGATACAACTTTATTTATACAGATGAAGGAAACCAATAGCCAGACAGAAAAATAAGAATTTCACGCCGTCATTTATTCAAGAGAGATAAAAAGTGACGCGTGACTAGAGGTTGTAATATTGCTACAGGTGTCCCAGATATGAAAAAAACAAAACTTTTTTTCTCAAATTTTACTGACCTCAGGTGTAATATCTTTTTCTCCTTGGACAACTGCGGAACCTCCATAGAGATATTGTAGAGCTATAGGAGGAGATGGATTCATGGCAGCAACCTCACGATCCTTCAACTCTCTTCAAATACAAATTATAATTAAAGACGATTAATTTAGGAGTGTACAATGTCGGATAAAATTTTCTTCATTTTATTCCTTTTACCGTGTTCTCTACAATTTGGGAAAACTAAGAACATAGAAACATCATCAAAAGGGAAATTAAAACTCTAATTTTAGATAAAAGTAATTCTATTATTTATGTTTGAAACCCATTTGTTGATTTGAATTGTTGTTTACCCAAATAACTTTTGTTTTATCAATGAACTATAAAAAAAACCATAAAAATGTCGACAATTTTTCTTAAAAATATGCGGGGCAAAAATTCAAGTTTTAATTTGTATACCTGTCCGCCGCCATAGATCTTGCGTACATCCTCTCCAACCAAACCTTTCCTCGCTTTGCTGTCAGAAATACATCCACCTCAGAGCTATAAACTAACTTGGCGTACACAGGGTCAGAACATTTATCGTACTTTGTGTTTACAATAACCTCTGTTCGTTTCTCCTTTCTGACAGGTCCAGTGGAGGGGATAGTTTGTATAACAGTGTCGGCCTGGGCTCTGTATCGTCGACGAAGCACGCTAGAGCAAGTGTGAGTTAATTTTAGCCGGAAACAGGTATTCATCTTGAACTTAAGAGTTTGTGCAAATTTACTTATTACCATTCACTTTTATTCCATCTGAGAATCTGAATCATTATTTTAAAAAGTCACATCTAAAAAAGAAACTATGATTAAAGGAATATAAACAAAAACAAGTCTATTCTAAATCTGTTCTCCCCAAACTCTGATTATTGTTATTCACATAAGGAAAAATAAACCCCTTCTATCAGCTCTCATATTGTTACAATTTTTTTTAATATAATAAAATCCCGTGTCCGTTCTAATATACGATTTATGGACTCCGCTGATGAAATAGTGGTTTGTCAACGTCAATTATTTTCTAAAACAAATTTAAAGTCCATAATTAATAAATGTTCGCTGGTGGCAAGCGTAATAATTGTAATGATGCCGAGTATGGAAATATCAGAGAAAAAAGATCGTCTTATGTTTGAAATCAATCAATCAATATATTGCAAAATGTTCAATAGAAAACCTGAGCTACATATTTTAACTAAAATGTCGACCTTTGATAGGTGTTAGAAATGGTGAGTTTAGATAAAAACTTATATCTATTTTTGAGAGGGTAAATTTCATAAAGATCGGTTTATCCCATCCTTCTCAATCAAACATCACTCCTTCCCTCCTTCTTCCTTCAGTATTTAAAAGTAATAGCAAAATAATTGTCGTTTCTATTCTTTCTTTTTCTTAAAAAGCCTCTCAGACATTTGTATGCAAAATTTTTTCTGATCAGTAAATTTCAACTCTTCTGCAGTATACAGTTTATAATTCTTCTACAGGGTGTCCCACCATTAAAACATGACATTTAATAAATGGTTATTTTTAGTTAAACAAATCTTTTGCTTAATTATATTCTACTTTGAAATCAATTTTAATATAACATGACTCCCATATAATATTTTTCAGGGGCGTACGAGGGGGGGGGGCCGGGCCCCCCGCCCCCCTCTACGCGTGCCCCCCCTGAGAGGCTGAGAGGGGTCACCCATGAGGGAGGCTCTTTTAATATTACATCTGCTTGCATTTCCCTTCCTCAGGCCAGGCACAGTGGCGTACCTAGGGGGCAGTAGTCCTGTTGCCCCCCCTGGGAGTTCCAGGCGGGGCACTGCCCCCCCTGGAAAATACAAAATTTAAAGGAAACTACGTTTAAAAAGTAACACATGACAATGACAAAGACTAAGGATTTGTCTGAATTCATTGTTAACACAAGGAGAGAAAAGTTTTAGCCTTCTAAAGAGAATACTTCATTACACAAGATGTACTATGACGGAGAGCAGACTTAACGATCTTGCACTTAAAGCTTTACACCCTAAAAGGCTGTCTGAGCTCTCTATACTGAAAAAATCATTGAAATGTTTGTGCAAGCAAATCCCAGAAAATTGTAGCTTAAAAGAGATGGTGAATATGAAGATTGTGTAAATTCTATCTAAAAATTTTAGAAGAAATTTCGTTTATTAGTAAAAATATTATTTTTAATGATGCTGTGATTATTGATTTATGGTATTTTTATGGTGAACAAAACAAGTCCAGGTGGGAGGGGGGGGGGGCAGAAAAAAAATATAAAAAAGGTATCAATATTTTTTCAAAAAAGGGGTTTTTAAGGGGGGGGCATACTGTTGCCAAGGGGGGGGGACCTCAAAAATTATATTTTTTTTTATTTATCCCGACTACCCTCTTCAGTTTATCCTTCTAGTTTAAAAACTATACCTTCTGATAACTATCCAGTCCAAAGACTATCCTTCTGATAACAATCTCCATAATCCAGTTTAAGGACTATACCTTTGATACCTCTCTAGACTGAGGACTACCTTTGATACCTCTTTAGTCTACAGACTATTCTCTGATACCTTTCCAGTCTTTAGTATTAAACTCTAAGTACTAGTGCTGACACCTTTTCAGTCAAAAGACTAGTCTTATAACTATTAACCCTTTCATATTCCTCTCCAGTTTGGAGTTTTTGTTAAGTAGAAATTAGTACAAATTAGAAAGTTAATTGATAAAAAAATATATAATTCATAATAAGTAAAAAATTAATAGTTCATTCATTGGTTTATTTATAATTGCATAATATAAGATACAAAGAAGATTTGAGATAAAGCATCACGTACTGTAAGCGAAGAGAACTGTTCCTGCAAAATATACAGAGTTAATAGAACCATGCACATGGTGAACACAGAACATTAAACATTCAGGACTTAGAAACATTAAGAAAACACACCACGCCCAGACCTTGTCCTAAATATAACTGCACTGAGACAGTTTATAATTGGGTCAAACAGAATTCTGCAAAACTGCAGGCTTTAAATCCTTGATCTAGTTAAACCATTCCGTGCAGATTCATCCTTGGTTTTCAAGGTTCTATCCTATAAGTATAGATCTTCTGAGAAGAAGAAAGATTTATGAATATTGCTTCTCCGATACCAAAAATCAAATCCGAAGGATACATGCGTCTGAAGATCTCTCCCCCCTCCTCCTATCTTCAGACAGAAACCATGGATAGAGGTTGAGGCCGGGAGAGAACTTGGTTGTATATAGTGGCCTCGGACTCAGTAAAGAGGAGTCGTGTAGGGACGAGTGTTGGAGCAACAGCGCTTCTCAAGTTATACCCAGAGTAGCCAAGAGTTATGGTTCTATTGCTTCTCTCTACTATTATTCTATCAAGTATATTCAGGTAAAACGTTTATTTATTCATTTACAAGAATTTTTAAGAAATAAAATAGTGAAATTGATATTAAAGATAGAGTATGAGTCATCATAGTTCCGACAAGAGTATATTCAGAGTACAGGATAGTATTTCCCCCACTTGCAAGTATATTATAGTATTTCCCCACCCTCGGGGGATTCCAGGCCCCTCCCTTTTCTATCTATCGATCTAGTCGGAAGCAGGAAGAAACATGATTTAAAAAGATTTTCTATTTTAAATACTTGTTTCTAAAAGTATGTTGAAAAACATTTTCCAAAATGAGATTTAGGTAATTGTTCTGAACCCGGAAGTGTATTGACAAACCATGTTTATTTTTGCTTTCTAATACTCCAGTATTCACCCTTATACCTGAATATTCAAGATTCCACCATTAGGTTATATACTGTGCACAGAATAGAGAACATGAACATTAACCTTTCTAAAATTTACCCTTTAACTCGATATTTAGGATATTTCACCCCTACACCCTAAAAACTAAAAACTATAAGAGCATAAACCTAAACCATTATAATATTCCTGTCTTCGTATTTATGATATTGCGACCTCCAGTCTTCAGTTCTACTTGGAGAATATGAACCTAAACTATACATATAGAATATGAACCTAAACCTTTCTTATATTCCTGTCTTCATTTTATACTTGTATATTCAAAATATTCCAACCTCCAGTCCTAAACTTCACATAGAGAATATAAACCTAAACCTTTCTAATATTCCTATCTTCATGCTTAAAACTGGATGTTTATAATATTCCAACCTCCAGCCCTAAAATATACAAAGAGAATATGAACCTAAACCTTTCTAAAATTCTTGTCTTCATCCTTAAACCTGGATGTTTATAATATTCTAACCCTTAGTTCTATACTACAGTGATAACTAGAAAATTCTGAAATAGGAAGACGACTTTTAAACTCAAGTTAAGACATAAACTAGTTCAATGAACATGAAACATATCATTTGTACAGTGTAAATAGACCCTTTTCACTTAAGTTGTTCTTTGCTAAGTTACTATTAAAATATTTGTTTTGTATCAAAACGCTTAAGTATTTCTATAATTTCGTCTTTCCATTCCATTGTTTTCTGGTTAACACTGTATACATAGAGAACATGAACCTATACCTTTCTAACATTCCTGTCATCATCCTTAAACCTAGATATTTAAGATATTCCAACCTTCAGTCACTTTAGTTCTAAATTATTCATTGTGAATATGAATTTACCCTTTCTCATTTTTCTGTTATCAACCTTAAACCTTGATATTCTAGATATTCCACCTTTAAGTAGTATACTCTACTATCATAGAGGACATAAACATAAACCTATTTAATATTCATAAGACAAACAAATATTCATATACATAAAAATAAACCTTTGTAATATTCTTGTCTTTATCCTTATTCATATATTCAAGATATTCAAACCCACAGTCCTACACTCTACATAGAGAACATGAACATAAACCTTTCTAATATTCCTATCGTTGTATTTACGATATTCCAACCTTCGGTCCTCTGTTCTAGGTAGATAATATGAACATCGACCTTTCTAATATTTTTGTGCTCATCCTTATATATTCCATACTCCAGCTCCAACATAGAGAACATGAACCTAAACCTTTCTAATATTTTATGCTCATCCTTTTACTTGGATATTTAAAATATCCCATACTCCAGCTCCACCATAGAGAACATGAACCTAAACCTTTCTAATATTTTATGCTTATACTTATACTCGGATATTTAAAATATCCCATACTCCAGTCCTCAACATAGAGAACATGAACCCTTAACCTTTCTAACATTTTATGCTTATACTTATACTTGGATATTTAGAATATCCCATACTCCAGTCCTCAACATAGAGAACATGAACCTAAACCTTTCTAATATTTTTGTGCTCATCCTTATACTCGGATATTTAGAATATTCCATACTCCAGTCCTCAACATAGAGAACATGAACCTAAACCTTTCTAATATTTTTATGCTCATCCTTATACTTGGATATTTATAATATTCCATACTCCAGTTCCAACATAGAGAACATGAACCCTAAACCTTTCTAATATTCCTATCTTCGCCCTTACCCCTTGTAGCTTTGACCCCCCCCCTCCCCCTCCTCCTCGATTCTATACTTGAATAGGAACCATAACCTTTCCCTCCGATTAAATATTTACCAACTTGAATTCTATAGATTACGAAACCAAAACATGGCCTGAAAGTTTCTTTCCGACAAAATGATTTATTACATTTAATCTTATTATCTTTCATATTCTTCAATTTCTTTTAATCTTTATAGAAAATGTGTCTCTCTAATTCATTTCGAAGTGAAAATAAAACTTTTCTTTTAAGTTGAAGAAAGTTTAAAAAAATAGTTAGAATATTTTGTTAGATATTATGTTACGCAAATGTTCCTTTTCTTTATATGTTCAAGTGAAATTCTAATTAAATATCTAATACATTAATTTAAATAATAGCAGAGAGCACAAAAAATATATTTAGAAATACAAACATGTCCCCCAGAACATGTAATAAATTGTGTTTTCTAACCCTTGAATTGAATTTGGTCCCTATGATCTATGAAAAGGTTGGAATATTGGAGAAAAAATGTATGTATAACAGGAAAATATAGCTAATCCTTGAATACAAATTCCAAAAAGAACGAGGTTCTATTTGAAATCAAAGTGTTTTGGTCTTTAATTCAACAATCTTTAAACTTACGGATTTGTTTGTTCTATACTTTTTTCCTTCAAAATGCATATGCCGACAAAAAAGTGTGAAATAAAAAATGCTTAAAAGTATGTTTAATGGGTAAAATTGTGATCGAAAGTCACACGTTTTCTGGAATATTGACAGAACCGTTAAATCCACGTGATATAACTCTTTAAATAAAGGGTCAATTAAAAATTACGTCGACAGTCTCTTTAAATGTATAATTATTTTCCTATTTTAAGTGTGAGTGGTCAGCTGCCCCATACCCTAGATCTGAGCTGGTTTGAAGAGGTAGAAAACTGGGGAGTAAAGGATCCAGTTCCATTTCAGTTCTCAGATTATGATTACTTCCAGACTAGGAAGAACGAAGCGATATACAGGTATACAGATCTAGGTATTTTATATAATACATAGATAAATTGTACAATTTACCCCCTACACCTTGTATAGATATACAGGTATACAGATCTAGGTATTTTATATAATACATAGATAAATTGTACAATTTACCCCCTACACCTTGTATAGATGTAAAATTAAAAAGTATTGAACTTGCTTTGAAAGGAAGTTTCCACATATTTATCAAATGATCAACAAAGTTTCTTTTCAGAGAATACTGGGTTGCTTGTGAACAGTCTCCTGTCTGCTGGGAAGTCCAGGGACCAAGCATAGAACATAGTAATTGTGTAAGGTAGGTCAAGGGATCAAGCATAGAACATAGTAATTGTGTAAGGTAGGTCAAGGGACCAAGCATAGAACATAGTAATTGTGTAAGGTAGGTCAAGGGACCAAGCATAAAACATAGTAATTGTGTAAGGTAGGTCAAGGTAACAAGCATAGAACATATATGTCCCATGCAGTTGCTATGTACTGGGATATCTATGAATGAATGTATAGGCAGTGTATGTCTCCTGGTTGCTACTGGGATATCTATGGACGGGATGAACTAGAGGTTGGAGAAATTGACGTGAGGAAGAACTCCTTCAAGGGTTGTTTTCAGCAAGCTCTTGCCAGAAAGAAAACTTATTGAGTTAAAAGGAACTGAGTTTTAGCCACAAATTCTGATTTTCAAATCGCTATATCTTTGCAACCTGATGGTGTTAACCTTTGATATTTCAAACTATTATTATTTGATCTAAAATAATTCATAGTTTGAAATATCTATGGTCTCTGACATTGAAATGCAAAGATATAGGGATAAGAAAATCAGATTTTGTGACAAAAACTCAGTTCCTTTGAGGTAAAATTTTCTATTCTATGCTTTAAATCAGAAAAACTATTGTCTTCGGTTGGAAAGCTACTATATATACAAATACACATGTGAACTGTGCGACGATCTTAGATAATTTATGATTGACAACGTTTGGATGAACATTTTGTATGAGACCTGCCATGGCCCATCATCTCATCAATATTGAAATTGAAAAGATAAATCATCGAATTTCTTGATCATATTTTTAATCACAATGCTCACAATGTCAATAAAATCTTTTTGTTTGGTTTTTCTTTCAGTCGGTTTATATTGAACCAAACAAGATATCTGCGAAATAATGTTTATCTGGCAGAATCCCATTTTGAAAATCCAGTTTATTTTTATGATCACTGCAGTATCGACTAACAAGATGAAAGCAGAGGCCATAAATTCGAAATTCAAGGTCTTTGATATTTATTGATTTCATTTCAAATTAAAATGTTTTTGTATAAGAAAGTGAAATGTTGGTCAGAATTTTGTTGTTGTTGATTATTTATGAGTCATATCGTTCATAAAACCATGATCTATAAAAAGTAAAATTCTAAACAGAATTTGGACAGTTTATCTAATATCTGTAATGTCAAAATTAAATTCTAGTTTCAATACAATATTTAGTTCCTTAAACGTGATATCTTCATATATGATATTATATTGTTAAAGTCTGCTCAATTTTAAAGATTTAATGTTTTATTTGCTTCTAGATTTATCCTTTTTTCTTCCTTGTTCTGATCATTTCTTCCAAAAACCATCTTCTTTTAAAGTTTAGCTTGGGCTTCGACAGAGCAAAACCTTGTTTTTAAACTTTTTCTGCTAAATGCAAAAGTTTAGACCGTCTTTGTTTATTTTATGAATTCAAGAACATTTGGTTTTCTGATTCTTTTTAATCTGTTAATGTGTTCATGTAAACCTGGTTTTCTTCTTCTTTTTCCTCTCCCTAATCTTGAATAGTAAATAATGTTTATTTTATAAATATTTCCATAATGCAGAATCTTCTTATATATTCTTCATAATGTATGTTTAATGTTTATGTGGGAAAAAAGTGGGGGGGGGGGAGGAAGGAAAAGAAAAAGTATGTTGCTGGATGGGAAAGGGAGAGGATGGAAGGGAAAAGTATGTAGCTAGACGGTGAATGGAAGGGAAGGGAGGGAAGGGGGAAAAAGTTGGTGGGTGGTGAAAGAAAGGGAAGGGAAGAAATAAGTTGGTGGGTGGTGAAGGAAAGGGAAGCAAGGGAAAAGTATGTTGCTTTTTGTATGAATGGAAAGGAATGAAATGCAAGATGAAAGAACATATATCAGGTGGAAGATGGAGATTTAATATATGAAGAAGGGGAAAGGAAAAGGACAGGGCAAAGGGTGCAAGGGGAATGGATTGCATGACAGGAAGAACGGGTACGGGGTGGAGGGGATTCTGTTGAGATATTTGTTAATGGAACATTTTCTTATTTAAGACAAGATATATTCATCTATCTGTCTGTCTCCGGTCTCCTGTCTCCTGGAGTATATCTTTTCTTAGTTTTCTGTCAATCCTAATCCTTCTTATCATCTAGAAACTCTTTCCTAATCTCAAGGTTGAATATCCTTCCCTAATCTCGAGGTTGAATATCTTTCCCTAATCTCCAGGTTGAATATCCTTCCCTAATCTCGAGGTTGAATATCTTTCCCTAATCTCCAGGTTGAATATCCTTCCCTAATCTCCAGTTTGAATATCCTTACCTAATCTCCAGGTTGAATATCCTTCCCTAATCTCAAGGTTGAATATCCTTCCCTAATCACAAGGTTGAATATCCTTCCCTAATCTCCAGGTTAAATATCCTTTCCTAATCTCAAGGTTGATTTTAACCTTAAAGGTTTACTATGATTTCCAATTTCAGGGTCCGATATCAGAGTTGAGGAGAATCCATCTTTAAATTTAGAAGGACTGTAGACGTAATTTTAGTTCACCTCAATTTATAAAACTGAGAAAATTACCATCGGCACTAAATTTTTATTTAGAAAAATAAGAATTTCCCTGAAACCTTAATCAGAACAAGGTTCAAAGGTTACAATAGTAAATCGGACATGCCATCCTAAAATTGAGGGTCCCTTGAAAATATGTCTACAGTCCCTTTTTAATTTTAAAATCACTTTTTCAATCTCAAGATTGATGGAAAACTCTTCTCCGGGATCAGGATCGATAATAAACCAATCTCTTATCTCAGGGTTGATGATAAATCCTTCTCCCAGCTTAGAGTTGATGTTAAATACTTCTCAAAGCTCAAATTGGTTCTAAACCCTGAGCTGAAAACTTTTGTATTGGAAATCCTATTCTTTAATCCCGATTATTAAATATCTACATCCACTCTTGACACTGTTTTTTCTTCTCAATCCTCTCTTTTGTATTTTCCACCCTGGATTCCGACCAATGAGAGTTTTCTCGGGTAAAATTTTGAAAATTCTCGGCTTCTGATTGGTTGTTCGGTTTCTCTAATCGACATTCTGATTGGTAACATTCTAGATACTTGCCTAATTATTACCGTGAGATTAAATTGATCTTAAGATTTATAAAAAGAGGAGATCAAGCATTGATATCGATATACACAATTCTTAAGTTTTCAGCTCTATTTGTACATCTTAGAGTCGACAGTAAACATTTATCTAATTTTATGGTTAAAAGTCATTCTCAAATCTTACGTATGAAAAATCCTTCTCCAATCTCAAGGCTGTACCTCACTTCGAATTGAAATAAATCAGTTCCATTAAAAAAAATCGATTACCGGGATGAAAACCTTCTTTTTTTAGTCAATGATCAGTTCTGTTTCCTTATTCAAACATCTTTCTCATTCTCGGGGATGAAGATAAATCTTCTCCGGGTATTCTGAACATATACCCACATCCTTCTCTTCCACAATCTCTAGGCTTTAAAGTTAACCTGGAGAAGTTTGAACCGATTCTCAAGTTGTCAAGTTCTCCACTTTAGTCAATTTATCCCTGGTCCTTATTCAATTTAGGGTCTAGGGATTCAACCTAATCAGAGTATACTGCAAATTCATAGAAAATATATTTATAGAATTTTATTAAAGCATATTGCAACCCGTTCATTGAGCTTAGTCCAACTTTAAAAACTTGTACGGACGTTTTTTACAATATTGGCTCAATCATTTCTGATCTAAACTCTACCTTTTTAATTCAAAAGAAGGTTAAATACATCATACAACCCAGTTTACTTTTTTTAATAAAATTTTAGATTTATCGAGCAATTGTGGATTCAGTGATAAATGTTTATTGTGTTTCTTTTTCTGTCTATTCAACACAAAATTATTTTCTGGTTCTAGATCTAGATGTAGTTATAGATCTAGGCCTTGTTCTAGTTCTAGTTCTAGTTCTAGTTCTAGTTCTAGTTCTAGTTTTAGTTCTAGTTCTAGTTCTAGTTCTAGTTCTAGTTCTAGTTCTAGTTCTAGTTCTAGTTCTAGTTCTAGTTCTAGTTCTAGTTCGTTCTAGGTCTAGTTTTAGTTCTTATCTATATCTATATCTAGGTCTAGTTATAGTTATAGTTCCAATTCTAGTTCTAGTTCTAGTTCTAGCTAGTTCTAGTTCTAGTTCTAGTTCTAGTTCTAGTTCTAGGTCTAGTTTTAGTTCTTATCTATATCTATATCTAGGTCTAGTTATAGTTATAGTTCCAATTCTAATTTTAATTCTTGTTCTAGCTCTTGCTAATATTCCAGTTCTGTTTCTAGTCACAGCTAGTTATTATGGTTGTTCTTTTGAAGCTCTAGCTCTATGTTGTGTATTATTAAAGAACTATTTTACTTTCAGAACTCACCAAGACTGAAAGATCTATTGCTGAAATCTCCCAAGCCAAAATCAAGGAATTAAAACATTGTGCTAATCCAACCTTTATTTACATACACGTAAACAAAACTTAGTGAATTCTGAATAAACCAGGTTCGAACTAAAAGTGAAAAACATCTTGATAATCTGAGAAGAGAACTTGGAGGTAACTCTGAGTGGAATGCGCTTTCATGGAGAATATTATCAACAGGTTGCCTTAATCAACTCTAGATTCTAGACTCAGATTTATATTTCTATTTAAACCTTTCAGGAGAAGAAAAGAGAGAAGAATGGTGGAACAAAGTAAATATCAGGAATAATATCAGTAATTAACTGCTGGAAAGTAAGAAAGGATGATTTTGAAAAGGTTTTTAATCAAGTTCTATGAAATATGGTTCAATGGATGAAAAAGTAAAGCATCTTTTAAAAATAAAATCTTATCTTAACAATCAAAAAGATATTCAATCAGCGAATGATTAATATGTGATCTAAAGATGAATTATGTTTGATCAAACCCAACATTTTTAGTTGCAAACATTTTAAATTATTTATGATACCTTACATTAACATTCATTAAAATTGCTTAATTATTTTAAAATTCTGTGATGATGATGGACCAAACCTCTGTAGAGTAAAAAAGCAGATGTTAGTTCCACATTTATTGAAAATATATTTCGGTCTCGGTTGACCCGCGTCAGTTCTTGAGATTGTTTCTGTCACAAAGATTTTTATTGTTTTCTTACTTTTTCATTCCCTATTAGTCGCCTGTTCGTTTCGAAACATCTATCGTGAAAATTGCTTAATTCTATAAATAACGTTCTTTGTCTCTGATGCATTAAATCTAGAAGAAATGGAAAAACAAGGATGCTTTTATCATTTTTGATGAGATTAAGGGTTAAAATGGAACGCCCCGTCACTTGTAATTACGTCTACAGTCTCTTTAAAGTTTCATTGAAAAGTCTTTTTTCATAATTCATAATTCATGCAACAACAAACCATCAGTTTTGTGGCTGAAAGTAAAAATCTGAAATGATGAAGAATTGAAACTTGTGAATAGTGAATACGTAAACCCTCTTCATTTATCATCCTACTGCAAAGCTAAACTTTAAAGGGAGTGTCCGCGAATAATGAAAGGGGGTATAGGCATACGGCGAAAATAATCGCTTTTGATCGCTACTAATCTTACTTCTAAGTGTTGCGCCTGTAAGGAGAAAATTGTTTAAAACGACTTATACTGAAGAACGTGGCGTCCATACAAAATCAGAAAGTTGCAATGTACGACGTGTATCGTAAATTAATCAATTTATTTTCAAAAAAATCATTCAGATATTACAACCTAAATTCATCGATAGATAAGTATCGATTATTTTTCGCCGTACCCCCTTTCATTTTTCGCGAACACTCCCTTTAAATTCTTATTCAGCGTAGAAAATTTCTTAATACAAGAGCAAACCATTAATTCTTGCCAAAAGAAAAAAGATAGAAAACATAGATAATAATTCTATAGGGAAGGAACTCTTATTATCGTTTGAAAAATTATTAAATTCTTTATTTTGTTGAGAGAAAGAGGAAAATTAATAATGTTGTCAAAAATGTTATTCTAATACTGATTTATCAGAAAACTGTGGAAAATCGTCGTCCTTAATATTTGTTTATTAAGGAAGGAACTGAACACTAGCATCACTCTTAAATTTTTTAATCCTCACATCTTTGAACCTGATGATGTAAACCTTTGATATTTCAAACTTTGATTGTTAGATCTAAAAGAATTAAAAATTAAGAATACCAAATGTCTACGACATCAGGTTTGAAAGCTCTGTCTAATCAAGTATGCATTAGAATACCATGCTTTTGTTTTGCGGTTTCTCTGGGTAAGTGACTTGCGCATTAAATGAAGAAATAGAGAAATTATCAGAATTAAACACTTTTCGAGTCAGAAAATTTTTTTCCACATTTTTGATCTGATTAAGGTTTCAAGAGTGCCGATGTATATTAGACATTTCCAATTTTGCATTGAGGGTCACCTGAATATACACTTACAGTTCCTTTAATGAATACACTTACAGTCCCTTTAATGAATAATACTGTACACAGAAAACATATAAAGGATAGAGATGTAGATGTACTAACTAATCAAATATCTCGGGTTGAATGAATGGTTTGCATAATCTCCTCCAGATATATATTATAGATCCAACCTTTCAAAGGAAAGAAAGAAATATCAAATTGTGACAAATGTCTGATATTACTGAATGTCAGGGATACCCGTGTGAAGGAGGAAGTCCAGGGTCCCCCTGTATAGAAGGGAGTCCAGGGTCCCCTTGCAGGAATCCAGATCGTTCTTGCGGTTGCTCCGACAACCTTGTGAACGGTATGATAGACTCTGTGCACAGGAGAAACGTGTCAACCATGGCTTCACCCGTTATCCTTCTCTTTGACGGGTTCCACAGTATCCTATATCAGATATTCCTTGGCTCCAGGTACCTTCTAACCATGGTGATTCTCCTTGTTAGAATTACACTCCACGAGATACTGAAACCTAGAACGGAGGAGGATAAAGTTGAATCAGATCTGACCTCAATCACCCATATCACAGAGAATAAACTATGTGAGCTCGAGATTTCAAAACCCCGGAGCCAGGCAGTGAAGACCGTAATATCCTATAAATCTGAAGCAGAGAACTATGCTCTGCAACATCAGGTAGACCTGAGATACAGGGTGAACTAGTTTATTCTTTTATTCAATCCAAAACTAGTTTATTCTTTTGTTCAATCCAAAACTAGTTTATTCTTTTAGTCAATCCAAAACTAGTTTATTCTTTTATTCAATCCAAAACTAGTTTATTCTTTTTTCAGTCCAAAACTATTCTAATCGAATTTTAAATTTGTTTCCAAGCCAAATCCTTATAAAATGTATTTTTTAGGTTAACAAGTTAAAACAACATCATCGGAGAGCATTTGACTTAATTTCCCAGGCTCTCAGTGTGGATGAGGAATCAGGGTCCAAAGATACAAGGTAGAATATACAGTATACTGTATAATACTGTATACTGTAGACTGTATAATGTAGACTGTATTATACTGTATACTGTAGACTGTAGACTGTATACTGTAGACTGTAGACTGTATAATTTAGACTGTAGACTGTATAATGTAGACTGTAAACTGTATAATGTAGACTGTAGACTGTATACTGTAGACTGTAGACTGTAGACTGTATACTGTAGACTGTAGACTGTATAATACTGTATACTGTATATTGTATTCTGTATACTGTATAATACTGTATACTGTAGACTGTATAATGTAGACTGTATACTGTATAATACAGTATACTGTATAATACTGTATACTGTATAATACTGTATACTGTAGACTGTATAATGTAGACTGTATACTGTAGACTGTAGACTGTATAATGTAGACTGTAGACTGTATAATGTAGACTGTATACTGTAGACTGTAGACTGTATAATGTAGACTGTAGACTGTATAATGTAGACTGTAGACTGTATAATGTAGACTGTATACTGTAGACTGTAGACTGTATAATGTAGACTGTAGACTGTATAATGTAGACTGTAGACTGTATACTGTAGACTGTAGACTGTAGACTGTAGACTGTATAATGTAGACTGTATACAGTATTAAACCGTATACAGTATACAGGCTCTGAGGGTATATGAGGAATCAGTGTCCAAAGGATACAAGTTAGAATATACAGTATTATACGGTATACAGTATACAGTATACAGTCTACAGGCTCTGAGGGTATATGAGGAATCAGGGTTCAAAGGATACAAGGCTACATACCGATATAATACAACACGGTACCCTTTAAACCGTTATCTGTGATACAATGCGGAAGATATCGTCTGTTTTCCATGTCAGAAATTGTCTCTTCTGTAAATCTTTGTCTCTTCTAGCTGTATATAATTCGTAATAATATTTTATATAGAAACGTAGACTCGTCCGCAAATGAAGTCCACTTTTCGTATGAGCTACTTTTCCCCTCTTTATTAGATCATCTTCAATCATTTTCAATTTTTCCCTGGTCTCACACATGTGCCGTGTTTATTGTTAAACCCTTCTCTGCAGTTTCAGAGTTTCTGCTCTGTTTAAAGAATGAATATTAAAAAACAAGAAACCAATTTACAAAGATGTATATTTGTCTCAATATATTAGATGTGTGTAGATAATATACAAGACAAGATATAAATTTTTCCCATCTGTCTTTTAGCGGTTCATTTTGAATCCAACCAAAAAACAATACATATATTTGAAAACTATACTGAGTGTGGGAAAGCACTAGAATACTTGAATATATTATTAGAAGTTTATTCAGAAAATTATAGAATAATATTACTTCAACAAAATTCTTTTCAAAAGGGATTCATAAACAAATTTGAGTGAGTTAAATAGGAATAAATAAACAATCCACAATTGAACAAAACCTATCTTTGCAAAACCAAAGTCGTAGTAAAGCTTTGTTATATCAAATAATATATATCAAAGGTTTACACCGCCAGGTTGCGAAGATATAGTAAATAGAACGCTCACTAAAAAATCAAATCATGTAGACCAAAAGGTTGTACAGTTTTAACAGTGTATGTTGCATGAATAATAATTTTCCTTTGCTTTGTTTGGGGAATATTCTAAATATCTAGTGCAGGACTTAAAAGGAATTTATTCTAAAAGATTCAAAATGGCGTATCTAGATATAAAACAAATATCATGATCAAAGAAACAACTACGATCCAGGTCGCAGGTTCCGAGAATTTTGATATTGCTGCATCTGGCCTGCAGGGGTTTACTCAAACAGAATTGGAAATTTAAACATTTGTTTAGGATAATATAGGATTTGTTTAGGATAATATAGGATTTGTTTAGGATAATATAGGATTTGTTTAGGATAATATAAGATTTGTTTAGGATTAGGTGGAATTTATTTAGATTTCCTCTAAATATCTGAAATTAAAAAATAAAATTATCCTGTAATAAACTACATAGTGAGAGATGGGAACTTTTGAATTTTGGAACTAATTAGGTTTGAATGAGTTATACCTTTGAACAGATTTATTGAATAGATAGAAGTAGTTTAACTACACAGACTTAGTAGAACCACTTCTCTTGAGTAGCCTCTGTAAGTTCAAGAGAAGTGGTTCAATTGTCTACGTAGTTCAACTATTTCTCGCTATTCATTAAATTTCGTCCCTTGTCGTACTGTTGAAATATCTTGTTTTATCAAAAACACACCACATCCTCAACCACGCTTTCGGTGATTTTCAGTACTCTGCCCGAGGAAATAGTGGCTTTTAGTGGAGAGTGAGCACATGCCAAAACTGGATGAGGTTTTATTAATCTTATTGTCCAGGACGGTGGATATGTACAAGAAAGGGATCCTGGAGCTAGAGCAGGGAATATTGTTAAACTTTGAATCGTCAGATTCCATCACAAAGGAATCAAAAGAATTCTCCCAGGCCAGGAAATTACAACACAAGGTAGGTTTAATAAAAAAAATAGAAATCCATTAAAAAAATATTTCTTTTAAAAAAAACATACTTTCCTATAACCAGAACATTTTCAAATGTTAAGATTTCTTGTTTTGAGAAATTGAAAGTAAAAATTTAATTCTTTATTTAGCTTTAGCAAAAATAAAATAAAAAGTGTTTCAGCAAATTTGCCTAGTTTGGTAAAGTATGATAAATCTATGAATTTAGGATTCACTCCGAAGTTCAACTTTAAATTAAAAGAATTCTCTAGTAATTCTATTTCAAATTTCCTAAAGAAAATTCTTTGATTAAATTTCAAGTTCGTTTTCGATTCCTCATTCCTTCTTCCTTGCAAGATAATTCATGTGTCAAATCCTTGATTCATATACAATCTAATCCGAAACAGATCCGTCCACGCACTACAGGGAATATAAGAAAAGAAAAAGGAATTGAGTCTTGGTCGCAAGCTCAAAATTTTCTAATACCTATATCTTTGCAACCTAACGGTGTAAACCTTTGATATTTCAAACCTAGAAGAATTGATCCAACATAATTCATAGTTAGAAATATCTTAGATCTATCTACAACACTGGGTTGCAAAATTATAGGGATTAGAAAATCAGAGTTTGTGGAAAAGGCTCAATTATACTCTAGCAGAATATTTTTTGAACCTCTAGTGTTCACCTTTAACATTCGGAAATTTGCCTATTATTTTTATAAACTTCCTTCAGACACGTAGAACCAAGGCAATATTGTTTTAAATAATATTATAAAAAATTACACGAAATTTTATTGATTTAAGTCATGAACCATGTCTTCATAGATTTTATATGATATTTTTTTTATATTTTAAACTAAAGGATACTCTGATTTCATAATGAATACAACTTTGCAATCTGATATTTCAAACTTTGACAAGTTGATTTAACATATTTCATAACTGGTTGCAAATATTTCGGGAGTTAGAAATTTAGAGTTAGTGGCGAAAATTCAGTTCTATTCAAACTCATTAAAAATAGAAATACAATTGTAAAAGTCTAATGTTCTGTATCCGTAGATGAAATTGAACCTGGACATGGCTAAGAAGAGACTAGACTGGCATGCTTTAAATGCAACCAGGTATACAACTTTGACGAGATAATTCATTAAATTAAAATTCAATTCATTTTCTTATCTAAACTTACTTAATCTTAAATTTTATCAATTTTTTACGAGAACAGAAAAATATTTTATGATCTTGAAATCACAAATTTCAGGACGAACAAAAATATTATTAAATGCATAACACTTAAACTTTTCATTTTTGTATTCGATTTTTATTTTAGAAAATCTCAACCTGCTCTTAAACATCTCTCATTACCTCGCAACAGTAAACCCCCAACTCAACAAACAATAAATAGTTTGCAAAAAGTTAACAGAAGAGAAAAGGTAAAAGATAACAATTAAAGAATCATTTGTAAAATAAAAAGTTGTAGATGCGCGATGATAAATTATAATCTACTGCAGGCAACCTACACACCTCCACCTACTAGACGGCACAGAGAATGTTTAACCTCGGGATCAGAAACTTTGCCGCGTAATTATAAATTGCACCGGTCGTCTTCGCACTCTTCATCTTCCTCATCTAACCGACTGAGCAAGGACTCCTCCAAATTTATGCAAATAATTATGGATGAGATTATAGAGGACAGTCCTAATTGCAGCTTTAGTATGGTGGCCGGTCAGCTTGCAGCAAAACAGGCACTACAGGTACACATACACCTAATCATTTAATGTTGCTTTTATTGTATTATTTTTATTAAACTTTTTAATAGTAATATAAAAATAGAAATACATTTTTTATAAATTTTATCATGGTTGTTAAAATAAAACTTTTATTCCCCAAATAATATTTTTTTTTATTTCCTTGAATTCGGGTTTTGACTTTACATTTATTCACTAAGTTATATTTACTGAGAACATTTTTAATTTCATTTACTTTCTAAAACGTATTACAACGTTTAAAATATTGTTATTTTTTCAACGAACTATACAATTCTTGTTTTTTAACTAAATGTGACAATTTAATTTTTATCGTAAATGAGCGACAAGTCTCTGAACAGATAGAATAACAAGAAGAAGTCAAAGTTTAAAAGTTTAAATAATTACAAAAATCTAATTGGTCTATACATATGGATTAAGTATAAAAAAGGATAAAATGAATAAAAGTGTATAAGGATGGAATGGATAAAAGTGTAAAGGAAAGGTCGAAAATAGATAAAAGTGTAAAGGAAAGGATGGAATTGATAAAACTGTAAAATACGGATGGGAATAGATAAAAGTGTAAAGGAAAGGTCGAAAATAGATAAAAGTGTAAAAGAAAGGATGGAGTAGAAAAAAGTGTAAAGATAAGGATAGAAATAGATAAAAGTGTGAAGGAAAGGTCAAAAATAGAGAAAAGTGTAAAGGAAAGGATGGAATTGATAAAAGTGTGAAGGAAAGGTCGAAAATAGATAAAAGTGTAAAGGAAAGAATGGAATTGATAAAAGTGTAAAGGAAAGGTCGAAAATAGATAAAAGTGTAAAGGAAAGGATGGAATTGATAAAAGTGTAAAGGAAAGGTCGAAAATAGATAAAAGTGTAAAGGAAAGGATGGAATTGATAAAAGTGTAAAGATAAGGATGGAAATAGATAAAAGTGTAAAGATAAGGATAGAAATAGATAAAAGTGTAAAGGAAAGGATGGAATTGATAAAAGTGTAAAGGAAAGGATGGAAATAGATAAAAGTGTAAAGGAAAGGATGATAAAAGTATAAAAAAGGATGAAATGAATAAAAGTGTAAAGGAAAGAATAGAAATAGATAAAAGTGTAAAGGAAAGGATGGAATAGATAAAAGTATAAAAAAGGATGGAATTGATAAAAGTGTAAAGGAAATAATAGAAATAGTGTAAAGGAAAGGATGGAATGGATAAAAGTGTAAAGATAAGGATGGAAATAGATAAAAGGAAAGGATGGAATTGATAAAAGTGTAAAGGAAAGAATAGAAATAGATAAAAGTGTAAAGGAAAGAATGGAATTGATAAAAGTGTAAAGATAAGGATGGAAATAGATAAAAGGAAAGGATGGAATGGATAAAATTGTAAAGGAAACGATGTAATCGAGAGAGATAATTCTGGATGTTTTATTGAGACGTTAAATTACTCTGCCAAAGGGGAAATGTTAGTTTGAAAATATGTCAAATATGATGGATTCTTTATACTTTATTTACAATTTACTTTTTTAAAGAAAAGAGTCAAAGGTATAATACAAGAAGGGAAAGCAAATTATTAACCACTTTTTAAAAATAAAAAAATTCTGCAAACAAGTACATTATAATCTTCAACAGCAATACCCTTTTTCTTTAGAAATATATTTTTTTGCCATTTTTGGAATTAGATAATCAAACTTTACATTCACCAGACTGAGTTTAAGTTTTTTTTAAAAAAACAGTCTCCATGGTTAAATTCTTGTAAAATATTCTCTTTTAAATATAACTGTATAAAAACAGTCTCCATGGTTAAATTCTTGTAAAATATTCTCTTTTAAATATAACTGTATAAAAACAGTCTCCATGGTTAAATTCTTGTAAAATATTCTCTTTTAAATATAACCGTATAAAAAACTTTTGATTCCAAATACCTTGGATTCTGGTGCAAACCTAAGATCAAAAGATTTTGTTTTCTTTTTAGATTAAATCAGAAAAAAGTTGGTTAGCTTTGATCTGGATCCAGTCTGCTAGTTTTAGCCTAATCTTGGTCAGACTTGTAGGGTAAACTTGGTCAGAATTGTAGGTTAAACTTGGTCAGAGTTGTAGGTTAAACTTGGTCAGAGCTGCAGGGTAAACTTGGTCAGAGCTGTAGGTTAAACTTGGTCAGAGCTGTAGGGTAAACTTGGTCAGATCTGTAGGTTAAACTTGGTCAGAGCTGTAGGTTAAATTTGGTCAGATTTGTAGGATAAGCTTAGTATGAGCTGTAGGTTAAACTTGGTCAGAGCTGTAAGTTAAACTTTGTCAGAGTTTTAGGGTAAACTTGGTCAGAGCTGTAGGTCAGACTTGTAGGGGTATACTTGTTCAGATTGTTGGTTAAAGGAATTGAGTTTTTGCAACAAACTTACATTTTCTAACCCCTATATCTTTGCAACCTGATGGTGTAAACCTTTGATATTTCAAACTTAGACTATTTGATCTAACAGAATTCATAGTTTGAAATATCAAAGGTCTAGGAAAACGGGTTGCTAAGTTATAGGAATTAGAAAATCAGAGTTTGTGGCAAAAACTCAATTCCTTTGGTCAGACGAATATGGCAAATTTTGTCAAACGTATAGGGCAAAAAGACTTGGTCAGATTTGTAGGGTAAAATTGGTTGAATTTATAGGGCAAACTTGGTCAGACTTGTAAAGTTAAATAGACCAGACTTGAAGGTGAAAACTTGGTTGAATGTATAGGCCAAGCTTGGTCAGACTTGTAGATTTAACTTGGCCAGACTTGTAGGGTAAACCTGGTAAGACTTGGAAGGAAAACTTGGTCACACTTGTAGAATAAACGTTGTCAAACTTAGAGGGTAAAATTGGCCATACTTTTAGGGCAAACCTAATCAGACATGTAGTGCAAGCTTGATGAGAATTGTAATGTAAACCTAGTCAGACTTAAAGGGCAACCTTGGTTAGATTTCAGAAATAAACTTGGCCAGACCAGACTTTTAGATTTTTTTCCTCATTCTGGAAAAAGATGCCACATTATCAAATTTTAAAATATGCAGTTTAATTATTCTTAGACTTGCCCTCAAAACTTGTTCGAGGACATTAAAAGGTTTTCTTGGTAACTCTTTTCTGACATTTTGAAAATTTTAAATAAAAAAGTTTCTCTCTCTACTGTCTTAAAATGCAGTCACCCTCTAAGAGTAAACTTCCTTTTATTGTCTGAAAATACAAACTTGAAGGTTTTACAATGCTGGCAATTTTTCCGCAGAACTCTTTTCTTTGCAAAGATTTTGATTATTCTAGCGAATAAACCGGTTATACTTGGTATCATTCAGGATACAATAAAATTCAGAAAAAATGTCAATATGGAAATTCATATTCTTTAGGAGACTGTAATTCTTCCAGCTCTGAGACCTGAACTGTTTACAGGACTCAGAACACCTACCATTAATCATAATAACAATAATAATAATAATAATAATAATAATAATGATAAAATATGTATTTAGTGAATGATAATATTACTAACAATAATGCTAGTTACAAATTGGTATGAATATGTTTATAAAGTATCTTAATGAATGTATTATCAATATTATGCTAAGGAAACACATTAACCTGCCAATTTCCCAGAATCATTATTCTTCTGAGAGTATTCGGTTCTCATGTGAGTCAGATTCATCAGCTCTTTAAAGAAACTGAGTTATTGCCACAAACTCTTAATTTATAATCCCTATATCTTTGCAACCTGATGGTATAAACCTGTGATATTTCAAACTAGAATTATTTGATCTACCAGAATTCATAGTTTGAAATATCTAAGGTCTACGATATTGGGTTCTAAGGTTCTAAGGGTCTTAAAGAGAGGGTATGAAAAAGGGGTTTAAAAAGGGAGTATGAAAGGGTTCTATGGGGTTAAAAGTAAAGGTATGAAAAAGTTCTAAGGGTTAAAAAAGGGAGTATGAAAGGGTTCTATGGGGTTAAAAGTAAAGCTGTATGAAAAAGTTCTTGGTGGGGTTGGGTTTAAAAAAGGAGTATGAAAGGGTTCTATGGGGTTTGAAAATAAGGAATGAAAAAGTTCTAGGGGTTCAAGAGTGTTAAGTAGATTCTTTGAATGGGTTCTAAGGGCCTTTATAAAAGGGTATATAAGGGTTCCAATGGGTCTAAAGAATAGGGTTGAAAAGGTTTCAAGGGTTCTAGGACGAGGTTGAATAATGATTTCTGACTCCAATAATTCTCAAGGGAATATTTATATTAAGAAGGTGTCAGCACAAAATAACATGAAACCAATATCAAAACTGGAGGGAAAAAATATAACAAACAAAAAATAATTTGGATTTACAATTGTAAAATGAAGCAAAAAAATAAAACTCTTAAAGATTTATTCGATATCTGGAAAAGTAATGCACAAATGTAACATACAGCTGTTTCTATATTTACTTTTGGAGAAGTTACTTTGTTTTGGTCAATTAAGCAGTAAATCAAGCATATGTTCAATGTAGCCCATCTCATCAAGAATTCTTTATAAATGACATGCATCCCCCCCCTTCTTTCACCCTTCCTCTCCCTTTTATCCCCCCCTTCCTCCATCCTTTGTAATCTCTTCTTTCTTCCTGATGATTCTAATAATTGCTAAAACATGTTAGACTGACAAGATTTTCACAACTTTCCAAAAAAAACTTTATTAAAAAAAGAAAGTTAAACAAAAACCTGATTTTATGTTATATTTCATTAATGAGCAGTGCACTACGAAAAAAATAGTTTTTGGCACAAAATCTAATATTTCAATTCTATATCTTTGCAACCCGATGTCACAGACCTTTGATCTTTCAAACTATGAACCCTGTGAAATCAAATAGTCTAAACTTGAAATATCGAAGGTTTGCACCATCAGGTTGCAAAAATATAGAAATTAGAAAACTTGGGTTTGTGGCAAAAACTCAGTTCCTTTGCAAACGGTTCCCTCAAAACCTTTTCAATGAACAACATCCGAAATATTTTTTATTTCTTTTTGAAAAAGAGAAAAACTACGACAAAAAACGAGATATATCTAGAACTGAGATCTTAAAGAACCCGAACTTTCTTTAGCTTGGTTCTTCCATACGTCCGGTTTTCTGCTTGGTTTTAATTGCTTTAATTCCTCACACCCGATCCAATGATTAAGCCAATATTCTAAAAATGAATATATTTTGATAATCATTATAGAAGAATAAAAGCTATGAGGAATGAATGAAACTACCGACCCTTAATATAATTCCAGAAGAGTAACAGGAGCCAAAAGTGTCCCGACATGGACGGTCCAGAGGATTTAATACTATTCCCACAACACTGAGATCATAGAGAATATAGAGAACAGAGGATTTAATACAATTCCCACAACACTGAGATCATAGAGAATATAGAAAACAGAGGATTTATTACAATTCTCACAACACTGGGATCATAGAGAAAATAGAGAACAGACGATATAATACAATTCCCAAAACACTGAGATCATAGAGAATATAGAGAACAGAGGATTTAATACAATTCCCACAACACTGAGATCATAGAGAATATAGAGAACAGAGGATTTAATACAATTCCCGCAACACTGAGATCATAGAGAATATAGAAAACAGAGGATTTAATACAATTCCCACAACACTGAGATCATAGAGAATATAGAGAAAAGAAGGTTTATCACAATTCCCACATCACTGAGAACATAGAGAATATAGAAAACAGAGGATTTATTACAATTCTCACAACACTGGGATCATAGAGAAAATAGAGAACAGACGATATAATACAATTCCCAAAACACTGAGATCATAGAGAATATAGAGAACAGAGGCTTTAATACAATTCCCACAATACTGATATCATAGAGAATATAGAGAACAGAGGCTTTAATACTATTCCCACAACACTGAGATCATAGAGAATATAGAGAACAGAGGATTTAATACAATTCCCACAACTGATATCATAGAGAATATAGAGAACAGAGGCTTTAATACTATTCCCACAACACTGAGATCATAGAGAATATAGAGAACAGAGGATTTAATACAATTCCCACAACACTGAGATCATAGAGAATATAGAGAACAGAATGTTTATTACGATTACACCAAAACCATTACATTTGCAATTCCAGTTTATTTTAAATAACGGACCGACCTCTAGGCATCTAAATCAAGTTGTAAAGTATACATAAAGTCTACGTGAGGCGCACTTGGACAGTAAACCAAATGAATTATCCTCTTTTATATTCTTATTATATAGTGTATCCTTTGTCCCCTTTCATGCTGGCTGGATTATCTATTAATATTAGTCTATACAATATTCAATTAGTTTTATGGTAAACAAGTTTTTAATAGCTCATGTGTTATAATACAATGTGACCAATAAAGCTGTGGAATAGGAAGACGACATTTTTACAAGTTTACATTTCTTGTCGTTGTCATCTAATAATTAAAAAAAAGAATTCTGAAAACCTACCCACCCAAAAGTACGATTTTGAACGTCGACTCTGCGCTCAAACCCAGGATTTACAAATCTTTAAAGAAGTTTTATATGTGTCAAATGAATCCTAAAGAATTTGTCCACAACACTGCAGTGCATACTTAGTTCAACTACCTTACATAGCCCGTCTGTCCCTTTAAAAATATATTTCTTTTTTATATTTTGTATTTCATACTTGAGATTAAACCTGAACATACACCTGGAACCTACAGGAGGTATATTATTCAACTTGTGTTCAATCTTTTCTCCCGGGGTAATAATGGAATTCCTGGGGGGGGGGGGGGAATAATTTCCAGCAGTTCTATGATATTAATACAAGAAAAATATTAGATTCTTTGTTGCAATGTTATACTTATTCTCTTTCCTTTTTGAACTTAGCTAATATGTGAGAGCAAAGGACTTGAGTCTTTGCCATAAACTAAGATGTTCTAATCCCTTTATCTTTGCAACCCAATTCCGTAGACCATAGATATTTCAAACTATGAATGCTGGTAGATCAAATCAAAGTTTGAAATATCACAGATCTGCACCATCAAGTTGCCAAGATATAGGGATTAGAAAGTTTGAGTTTGTGGCAAAGACTCAACTCCTTTAGAAAAAATTATGACATTTGATCCATGATCAAATCGTCTATAAGCCTGGTACATCTTGATCTCTCTTTCCTTGAATCTAGAAAAAAATTCTTTCTGTGGTTAATTCATAATTTAAAGTTTTGGTATTGAACTGAATTGTTAGCATCTACATTTTACATGTCTTTACAAGGCTGTTAAACATTAATGTGGATAAGACGGGACATTTACATTCACCTTGTGCTTTAAAATCTTTCATGTTTAAATACAACCTCTCTTTCTGATGAGTTGTTGATGAAACGTTTTAAGTTCTTATATGCAACCATTCAAGTTTTCTTTTTTTGGGTTCAGCGTGAAGATTTGAGAAGTCACAAGGTCTCAAAGTCGTACCAGCAATTCCTTACAAGATGAACTTTGTCTTTATGTTGAGATTAAGGTTCTTGGAAAGGTTTTATTTATTCTTTTAAAATATATTTTCTCCAGCTTGTACTGCGTGTTATCAGTATTCCCTGAGGAGCAGATATAAGCTCCAGGGTGTCAAAAAAAACATGAAGATCAGAATATAAAAAAAATATTTAAAATTAAAACCGTACCATATAAGCGGCAAACTATAATTTGCAGATCGTTTTCTATTAATTTTATTTTTTTGTTCTTTGAGACACCCTGTACATTGTAATATCTGAAGGTTTACCAAGACCTTGTATTATTTTTCTCCTGGGAGAATACTTGACTTCTTTCAATTTTATTTCTCACTTCTTTGAATATTTTCAAATAATGTGGTTTAAAAAAAGAAAAACCAAGAATTGTTGAAAAGTTACATCACAAAAGTTGTGTATTAAAAAAATGTACTGCATTATCTAGGAGAAATATAAACAAACTCAATTAGCCTATATACATTTGGCATACAAACTTTACAGTTCATACAGTAATAACCAGAAAACTGGAAGACGACTTTATAGGAATACTTGAAATGGGTTTGTTTACACTCCTCAATTGTTGTGTCTAGTGTTCACTGAACTATTTAAAGTCAGAACTTGAGTCTAAAAGTCGTCTTCCTATTTCAGAGTATTCTGGCTATCACTGTACATATTTTGTAGCTCCTGGTACAATATTAACATTTTTGGGGATACACCAATTATGGTGGGAGGGGGGGGGGAAGATGGGGTTTATATAAAACTGTTGTGCCAAGTATACAACTGGTACCATCCTTGCACTGATGCATTTATCAGAAAAAGCATTATCAATCAAAGCTTTAACCTTCTTTCAACATAAATTTAAAACTGTACAAAAAAAGTGTAACATTTATTTTTCTCTTTACGAAGCTGTTGCTGCAGCTGACATATTATCCCCTTTATGGCATCCTCTATGGGGGAAAAAACAATAATCTGATTCAGATATAAATAGTTTCAATTATCTATCCTTTCTTCAATCTTCAAACATTTATCTAAAATGTTTTCAATAAATCATGAGAGTTTAGATTACTCAAAGCATGAAAGATGAACGCTTTGAAGGTCTTCACTAGAAACAAAAAAAGTTTATTTAAAATTCGGTGACGGTGATTGACCAAACCTCTGTAGAGTAAAAAAAAGTAGATGTTAGTTCCACATTTATTGAAAATATATTTCGGTCTGGGTTGACCCTCGTCAGTTATAACGATAACCATCAAAATCGATAAAAAAAATTTTGTTAAAAACCACAAGAAAATGAAACAAACAAAAAAGATTATTTAAACAAAAATTGGACTGTCAAATGGACAACAGGGAAACAAACTCAGATCATGAAATTCAAAAAAAGATAACTTGCAAATATTCATAAAACGCTTTGATACGTGTTGCAAGGTATAAATAATAGATACAGGGGGCATTAGCTCCAAAACAGGTTTATGACCAATGTCTAATATTGATGGATTGTTTGATTGAAAGATGTATAGACTTGAAAAAGAAAACTTTGCAGATTTGACGGTTAGGATTAATGTCTCTTGAAATATGTGTGTTTTTTTTAATTCCATTTCCTTTTTTAGTGTAAACATTTTCTTCCGAATGGTTCTGTAAAGGCCTTATGGAACCTTTTGAAGCTGTTGAGAAAAATAAACCATTGCATATTTTAGAAAGTAAGGTGAAACCTTTCGTAATCTATTTTCAAATAATTCTACCTCCCAGATGCTAAAATGTGACATGCTGGTAAAAAGTTTACGGGACGATTATTCCATGCAGAATTGATACAGAATAATCTTCCTTTTTTCCTTTTTTTTCAGCATGTCAAACCTATGCTCTTAGAGTTAGATTTATTCCTGAAAAAAGTTTCCGCTCTTCCTAGAGTTTTAATGGTTTAATGGTTTATCTTTCAGCTTCAGCCCTCAGGAAAGATTTTGTAAAGCCTTTACTAGCTTGAAAAGTCTTCAATAGTTAAATGGACCGTTCACTTAATTGTGTAATTTCATGTTAAACTAAATAGCTTATTAGCTATTCATTGGTCTTACTTTCCAAAGATATCCATTATTTTTGTCTAGACACTATCTAAACTGTAGTATCTAACAGTTAATTGGAAATCTCATGATTTAAAAAAATTTTAACCTTCTATTTCTCACAAAACACTTTTTAGCGCATTGAAAATTTTTGCTTCTGTAAAAAGCTGAAAAAAACGCGGCATGAAAATAAAAAGTTGCGCGAATATGGGAACGGGATTACAAATTATAATTGAGTAGTTAATAATAAATTAGACAACTGATTGAGGAGTGTCATCATCCGAATAGATTTTCGACCTTTCTGGTAATAATAACAGATATCGGTTATAGAACTGACAGAAGCTATGTATGTATGGAGATAACCGAATAGAGAACGGTTCTCTCATCAGGGGCGGATACAGGATTCAAGTGAGGGGGGTCCCCCCTGTATCAGCCCTTGTCTCTCATCCTGCTCCGAAACTTTTAAAAATGAACTATTTTGGATTACTCACAAATGCATCATTGCAAGTAAGATGTCTATTCTTTTTACATCGAACGCAGAGTTGAATCTACGGACCGAAATTGCGTAATGATTAATTGATTGTCGGAGGGAATGTCGTCTTTGTGTATACATTTTAGACGTTTTAATACGAAAAACGTAAATTTCTTGCTAACTCAAATATCAAAAGTTTTCATATTGTAATATATAATGGCTAACACATAATGGCATTGAAATATGATAATTTTTTTTTTTAGCTGCTATTGCTGAAAAACGTCTATCAAAGTGTTTCGAATTCCGAACGAAAAATTGGCTTTTTCTCCGGCCACAGTTGTCTTTGGAAAGTAAGACTATTACCAATTAACTGCAGCTAATAGACTGTTTAGTTTACCATGAAATAAGTAAACGGTCCCTTTAAACTTTATGTCTGATTCATTCTTAATCGACCGGACAAAGCTATAAATGAAATTCCTGTAAACCGGACATTCCACTCTATTAATGGCAGGTCACACACATTCTATTCAATGGATTAGTTAGCTTACAAAGAGAGAGATCTAGAGAAAGGATTTTTTTTGGTTGATTTTATCTTAGAATACAATTTTCCACATTTGAGGAATTAAAACTGTTAATTGAACACCCTTTTTTAAACCACTTTTTTCTGTAAGTTAACTGGAGTCTCCCGGAGTCCCTGGAGATGAATAAAATGAAGACAATGATTTATAATTCTTTATGTCAAAATAACTGCAAAAAGCATAGAAATATAAATGACAAAATTTATTTTAGTATGCGCTACTATTACAATCTTTTTTTGTCATTGTTGCATTTATTCAATAACTCTTTCTTCTTCCCCTAGAATATCTATCAAAGGGACTGTAAAGGAAAAATGAAAGGGGATGTAGGCTAAAACCTGAGAATCTCAGGAGTTGAACGATACCTGAAAGACATCTATCTGATGTTCCTGTCTCGAGAAAATGACATAAAACTGTGTCAAAATTATACCAATACGTATATATGTATCATGTGACCAGAACTCCCTCCAATGACAGTGCAGTATACTGGTCATGTGATACAGACGGAGGCACGTGACAATAATACTGCACTGCCATTGGTTGGAGTGCTGGTGACATGGTCCGGACGTATAATTGATATTATCAATTATATCAATTAAAATTTAAAAATTATTTTCTCAGACTCCTCTGGGTTATCGTCGTTTTAATATTAAGAATCTTATACAAAATTTCATATATATACGTTTTAGTATAATTTTAACACAGTTTTTATCAGATTCTCGAGACAAGAGCATTATATGGAACTCTTATAAGTTTCAATCAGCTCCTGAGATCCTCAGGAGCTGATTCCAGTAATTTCGCATAAAGGAATTGAGCCTTTGCCACTAACTCTGATTTTCTAATCCCTATATCTACTTAACCAAATGATGTAGATCTTATATATTTCAAACTATGATTTCTGTTATATCAAATAATCTAAGTTTGAAATATCAAAAGTTTACACAATCAGGTTGCAAAGATATAGGGATTAGAAACTTTGAGTTTGTGACAAAGACTCAATTCCTTTAACGTTTTCCAAATGGTTAGAGTGAAGAACATAAAATAGAAATAATCAGAATTAAAATAATACTTAAAGTATTAATATTGAATTCAGGTCAATTCGATATTTATTTATATTTAGTCTTAAGCTTTGGTTAGTTTAGTGTATAAAGGTTTCATGTTCATTTAAATTACAGCTTTTATTCTTTATCGAAGGGAAAATGTTGCATGGAAATTTGCATTTCTTATAATTTTAGGTTACAATAAGTTTAAGTTATCATAATTTTAGGTTAGGACAATAATAAGTTAATAATAATTTTAGTGTAGGATATTTTTAGCTTTAAAAATCCAAGGTTATGATAATGGAGTTGGAAAACTCCCAAGTTAGGATAATGGAGTTGGAAAACTCCTAGGTTAGGATAATGAAGTTGGAAAACTCCTAGGTTAGGATAATGGAGTTGGAAAACTCCAAGGCTAGGATAATGGAGTTGAAAAATTTCTAGGCTAGGATAATGGAGTTGGAAAACTCCTAGGTTAGGATATTTTTAGCTTTCAAAACTCCTAGGTTAGGATATTGGAGTTGGAAAACTCCTAGGTTAGGATAATGGAGTTGGAAAACGAACACAGAGAACAAAACTCAACAATTGAAAAATAGAAACAAAATTTTTAATCTGAATTCAGATAAATTTAGACCTAAGCTTTGTAATATATATTTGAAGTACTAAGAATATTAATTTTTAGAGGATTATTACTGTTTGGTCCTCCTGGAAATGGGAAAACTATGTTGGCGCGAGCAGTAGCGAGTGAATCTGACTCTTCCTTCTTCAATATCAGGAAACGTTTATCAACAAAAAAATTTTATTTTTCAATTTTAGAATATTTTAGTGCTAGAACACTTCGTCAAAAGAAATAACCGAGAGAAAACGAAAAAAATTATGATTGTAAAAAAATGTTTTGCATCATTTTGTTTCTTAAGATTATTACAGTGATCCAAAAGTTGCAAGCACTCAAGAGCTTCTTGAATACTAAAATTCTAAAATGCCTAATATTACAAAAGAAAGTACAATCAAAGGCCAAGGTGTTACGACACCTTCTAAGTCGACCCAGCCTTGTAAATTGATACAACTTTTCTTAGCAGTCTAGATCTATGTGTTATCTTCCCCGCGTGCGTCACCCTTTTCTAATTTATACTGAATACTTTTAAAACTTTTTATAATTCTTGCAAATCATAATTTGAAAATAATTAAATTATTCATGAAAATTATATTCCTTCATGTCATTTGCGGATAAGAGCCACCAAGTCTTCCTGGATAAATACTTTTTTATAAATGTCAAAACTTGATTTCTATTTTCCATTGCCGCCTCCCCCCCCCCCTTCAAAAAAACTCTTTAACCATATATTCTAAATTTTACAGCTCCTTTTTCGAAAGTGGTGAAAAATTAAAAAACGTTTTGTATTTCTGAAACGCATCCAAATAATATCTTTCTCATATCCAATCAAAAATAGAGGAGACACAATGTCACAAAGTCGTAAGTTCCAATAAATTTAACCCAATTGAGCAAATAATGTTGAACACTTAAATATAAATGTTGACTAACCTAGTGCATCTACCCTTACCTCTAAATATGTTGGAGAAGGAGAAAAGTTGGTGAGAGCTTTGTTTTCAGCTGGCAGGCAGATGCAACCTTCAATCATATTTATAGGTATTTAGTATTCATATATATATGCATTATGCAACCTTCAACCATATTTATAGGTAAATCTTTTTCTTTAATCCTTAGAATGAGAACTTCATTAAATTCCAAAAATTCACCATTTTTATTCGGGTTAAGTTGTATAAAAAACATTCTTTTAAATAGAGTTTGAGGATGACTTGGATTAATCTTTAGATGAGATAGACAGCCTCCTTTGTGAGAGGACGGAGGGAGAACATGAGGCTAGTCGGAGGCTGAAAACTGAATTCCTCCTGGAGTTTGATGGGATTAGAGGACAAGCTGATGATAGGGTTCTTATCATGGGAGCAACCAATAGACCTCAGGTAAAACTACAACCTACACTACCCACCCAATCATAGACCTATTTTACCTGACCCGCTATACCTTAGTTTAGTGTGTAAATTGATATTTCACCTTCAAACTCAAATTGTCGCATCATATATCTTTGCAACCCAATGTCGCAGACCTTTGATATTTTAAACTATGAATTTTGTTAGATAAAGGGATTAGAAAATTTAAGTTTGTTTTATCTTAGAAGGATTAAAAAAAGTAATTTTTTCTATTTCTTTTTAAAATGATTATACATATGATACTGGTGAAATATGAAATATATTAAAGGTAATTGATATTTTCTTTTGTGTTTCTTACCAACCATTGCTCGAATAGAAGTTATTTATAAATTGACAAATAAAATAATAAATTTTATTTCCCGATTTTACTGTTAAAGTTAAGTAAATTAAATATAATTACAAAGGATTGCATGCGGGAGGTCTTGGTTGGCAAATTCATTAGTATAAACCTGAACAATGTTTTCTCTAGAATAATATTTACAGTTACATTCACTAGATATCTTAAAAAAATAAACTTTTACAGAGCAGAGTCATAAATTGACAACTTAGTTTTATTTTAAATATAGTTTATTTTTTAATTACCGTTTCTTTCTCTGCTTTTTTTCTCCACAAATACTTTTTTCTTTCTTTCATTTGGAAACTTTGTTTTAATTTTCCTTTTTAAAGGAATTGCGTCTTTGCAACAAACTCTGATTTTTTAATCCCTATATCTTTGCACCCTAGATATTCCAATTAGATCAAATCAAAGTTTGAAATATCAAAGGTTTACACCTTACGGTTTTAAAGATATAGGGATTTAAAAATTTGAGTTTGTGGCAAATACTTAATTCCTTTTCCTTCCTGGCAGATTTCTTCTTTTCTCGTTTTCAGTTTTACATATTTGTATTCTTCATTTGTAAATTTATAAAATATAATGTTTTAAAACTAAACTCGGTTTAACACAACGGAGTTTGCTCAGTATTTTACTACTTTGGAGCATGCAATGTTCTTCCATTATTTTAATTCTTTTTTGGTTTTGCACACTGAACACTGTACAAAGGATTTGAGTTTTTGCCACAAAATAAAACTTTCGAATTCATTTATCAGTAAACCTGATGGTCTAAACCTTTAATATTTAGAACTTAGATTATTTGATCTGACAGAATTCATAGTTTGAAATATCTAAGAGTAACGGCATAGGTTGTGAAGATATAGGGGTTAGAAAATCTAACCTGTTCTCCTTTATTCTTAATAAACATCCTGTCCTCCCTGGTTCTCCTGTTCCCCATGTTCTTATGCTGTCCCTGTTTTTGTTTTGTTTTCCATATTCTTATGTTCTCCTTGATTCTCCTATTCTCTCTGGTTCTACTGTTCTCTTTAGTTCTCCTGCTCTCCATGTTCTTATGTTCTCCTTGGTCTTCCTGTTTTCCATGGTTCTATTGTTCTCCCTGGTTCTCCTTTACTCTCTCTGGTTCTCCTGTACTCCCTGATTCTCCTGGTCTCCCTGGTTCTCTCGTTCTCCCACTTTCTCCGTGATTGTCCCGTTCTTTCTGGGATTCTCTCTGGTTTCTTCCCAGTCAACTTGGTTTCCTATCCTGGTTCTCTCCCCTGTTAACCTGGTTTTTTATCCTGGTTTTCTCCCTTGTCAACCTGGTTTCCTATCCTGGTTTTCTCTCCTGTCAACCTGGTTTCCTATCCTGGTTCTCCCCTGCCAACCTGGTTTCCTATCCTCGTTTTATCCCCTGTCAACCTGGTTTCCTATCCTGGTTTTCTCTCCTGTCAACCTGTTTTCCTATCCTGGTTCTCTCCCCTGTCAACCGTGTTTCCTATCCTGGTTCTCCCTGTCAACCTGGTTTCCTATCCTGGTTTTCTTTCCTGTCAACCTGGTTTCCTATCCTGGTTCTCCCCAGCCAACCTGGTTTCCTATCCTGGTTTTCTCTCCTGTCAACCTGGTTTCCTATCCTGGTTTTCTCCCCTTTCAACCTGGTTTCCTATCCTGGTTCTCCCCTGCCAACCTGGTTTCCTATCCTGGTTTTCTCCCCTGTCAACCTGGTTTCCTATCCTGTTTTTCTCTCCTGTCAACCTGGTTTCCTATCCTGGTTTTCTCCCCTGTCAACCTGGTTTCCTATCCCGGTTTTTCCCCTGTCAACCTGGTTTCCTATCCTGGTTCTCCCCTACCAACATGGTTTCCTATCCTGGTTCTCCCGTCAACCTGGTTTCTTATCCTGGTTCTCCTCTGTCAACCTGGTTTTCTATCCTGGTTCTCTCCCCTGTCAACCTGATTTCCTATCCTGGTTTTCTCCCCTGTCAACCTTGTTTCCTATCCTGGTTCTCTCCCTTGTCAACCTGGTTTCCTATCCTGGTTTTCTCCCCTGTCAACCTGGTTTCCTATCCTGGTTTTCTCCCCTGTCAACCGTGTTTCCTATCGTGGTTCTCCCTGTCAACCTGGTCTCCTATCCTGGTTTTCTCCCCTGTCAACCTGGTTACCTATCCTGGTTTTCTCCCCTGTCAAACTGATTTCCTATCCTGGTTCTCCCCTGTCAACCACGTTTCCTATCCTGGTTCTCCCCAACCAACCTGGTTTCCTATCCTGGTTTTCTCCCCTGTCAACCTTGTTTCCTATCATGGTTCTCCCCTGTCAACCTGGTTTCCTATCCTGGTTCTCCCTTGTCAACCTGGTTTCCTATCCTGATTTTCTCCCTTGTCCACCTGGTTTCCTATCCTTGTTCTCTCTTGTAACCCAATTTTTCTATCGTGGTTTTCTTACTGTCAACCTGGTTTCCTATTCTGGTTTTCTCCCCTGTCAACCTGGTTTCCTATCCTGGTTCTCCCTGGTCAACCTGGTTTCCTATCCTGGTTTTCTCCCCTGTCAACCTAGTTTCCTATCCTGGTTCTCCTCTGTCAACCTGTTTTCCTATCCTGGTTTTCTCCCCTGTCAACCTGGTTTCCTTTCCTGGTTTTCTCCCTTGTCAACCTGGTTTCCTATCCTGGTTCTCCCCTGCCAACCTGGTTTCCTATCCTGGTTTTCTTACCTGTCAACCTGGTCTCCTATCCTGGTTCTCCCCTGCAACCTGGTTTCCTATCCTGATGTAATCTGCTTAAACTTCTCCGATTTTTAATATTGGATTATAAGAACAATGTTATTCTAATACATGCTGAACACAACTAATTAAATTATAAATTCAGTATAATTTATGTAGAATAATACATTGTATAATTATTCATTCATCAAATCTAGTTTATTTAGGAAATGATTTATTATAGTTTTCCATTTAGGGTTAATTTGACACAATTTCTTTTAATAATTAATTTTTATTATCATTACAACTTTTTCCTTTTAGACCTTTTCTATGCATTTCTAAGTAAAAACCTGTCAAAATAAGGTTTCCTAAACGTACTATGCATGTATTGTAGGACCTAGATGAAGCTGTATTGAGAAGGTTTTCTAAACGTATCTATGTCCGGTTACCAAGTAGAGAGGACCGGATATCCTTGGTTCAGAAACTCCTTACCCAGCAGAACAATGAGATTACGGAGCATGAAACTCATCAGGTTTGTGAAAAATTAAACTGACTGATTACACGTCTCACATTCTCATTTTCTATTCCATTTTTCTTTGGAACCTGATGGACTATTTGATCTAGTCAGAATCCAGCCGAATTCCTAGTTTGAAATAGCACAGGTCTACGACATCAGGTTGGTAAGATATGGGGATTTGAAAAGTCAGTCAGAGGAGAGTAAACAGTTTTTTTAATAAAGACAATTCTGAAAACTAAGTTGCGTACATAATGAAAATTAGTATATTCTCGATAATGACATGTGAACTATACGATATCAATTGAAGTTTTTTTAATAAGTTATAATTCTTTTTTGAAAATACTTTGTGTCAGGTTATCTTGTAGAGAGTTTTATGAGATTCATCCACAAAAACACAAATATTTTCTTGGTTTTCAAAAAATATTTTCTCAACTACACATTATTTTTTTGTTGAATTGAATGGTCTTTTCCGATTCTGTTCAAATATTTTCTGTGTGTTCATATATTTTATTAAAATATTTTTAACTTTTTTTATTGTTTAGAAATATAATTTTCAGTTTAGTCGCCTAGATTTAACGATTAAATTAATAACGTTAAACGTTAACAATTTATAATTTGGTTTTCTATTCTTCTCTGCGGCAAAGTTTGTTCAACCCAATTTTTGATTGAATTTATTGGATGTAATATAATATGATACATTAGTTACTTTCTTTTTACAAAAAGACTAACATTATAAACACAAATATATAAATTGTTTTACAACACACACACACTTATTTCACATTTTTAAAAGATGTATTAAGATTACATTACAGCACACTCCTGAAATAGACTTGTAATTTTATTTTACCCTCCAGTTCAAGAGGTACATGCTCTAATTTACCCTCCAGTTCAAGAGGTACATGCTCTAATTTACCCTCCAGTTCAAGAGGTACATGCTCTAATTTACCCTCCAGTTCAAGAGGTACATGTACATGCTCTATATGTCTCAGGGGTTTAAACCTATTTCTTTGATTCACCGATTTTATATTTTAACAATATGCCATTTAATGTAATTTTTTTTTAAATGTAGCACTGGTTTCTTCTGCTAAATAAATTCAAATTTCTTAAAGTACTTTATAATAGTTTTTATTTTTTCTAGATAGCTCAGCTGACCGGAGGATACTCAGGATCTGACATCTCTAACCTTGCTAGAGATGCAGCCTATGGTCCTATCAGAGAGCTGGGGATAGACGAGGTAAAATCCCTCGACCCCGTCAAGGTCAGGAAGGTCAACATGAGCGATTTCTTGGAGAGTATGAAAAGAATTAAAAAATCCGTGTCAGGAGATAATCTTCTGGGTTACGAGGCATGGAATCAGAAGTTTGGAGAGGGAGCTGTTTAGTTTGGAGAAGAAGCTGTTTAGTTCGGAAAAGGAAGGTGTTTAGTTTGGAGAAGAAGCTGTTTAGTTCGGAGAGGGAGCTGTTTAGTTTGGAGAAGAAGCTGTTTAGTTCTGAGAGAGAGCTGTTTAGTTTGGAGAAGAAGCTGTTTAGTTCGGAGAGGGAGCTGTTTAGTTCGGAGAGGGAGCTGTTTAGTTTGGAGAGGGAGCTGTTTAGTTCGGAGAGAGAGCTGTTAGTTCGGAGAAGAAGCTGTTTAGTTTGGAGAAGGAGCTGTTTAGTTCGGAGAGGAAGCAGTTTAGTTCGGAAAAGGAAGCTGTTTAGTTCTGAGAGAGAGCTGTCTAGTACGGAGAGGGAGCTGTCTAGTTCGTAGAGGGAGCTGTTCAGCTCGGAGAGGGAGCTGTTCAGTTCGGAGAGGGAGCTGTTCAGTTCGGAGAGGGAGCTGTTCAGTTCGGAGAGGGAGCTGTTCAGTTCGGAGAGGGGGCTGTTTAGTTCAGAGAGAGAGAGCTGTTTAGTTCGGAGTGGGAGCTGTCTAGTTCGGAGAAGGAGCTGTATATGAATGGTGTATCTTGAGTGGACCTTGAAGAAAACACTTCTAAAATTAAACTTGAGGGGCATAACTTGAATACTAAACTTTGCGGAGAAAATCTTTTAAGTAATGTTTTATAGGTAAATCTAAAAGAGATACTCTTGAGAAAGCTTTTCAGAGTAAGATTTAAAGAATAATTGTTGTAGGGTAAACCTTGCAGAGAAATCTTTACAGACTAAACCATACAGAGTAAAACTTTGTTAATCTTTGAAAAGTAAAAGTTAAATTTACAGTGTAAACCTGTCAGATCGAGTATCCTTGAACTTAAATTGTAAAACTGACTTTAAAGTGAATGAAATGGAATAAAAGTAAATATATTTTGTAATTCTAAGTTCTAGACTTTATTTCACAAAATGTAGGGCGGAGGAACCAAATAAACATGAGTTTGGTTTCTGTTCTATTAAAGGGATTGTAAGCGTAATTTCAATTGACCATGCTTTACAACGGTACTCTAATTAGCTTTGTCTTATCAAGAATGAAGTTTTTGTGTTTTAAACTGTTTATTTTCATTTGTGGGTTCTCTCTGAAAGTGACTTGCGCATTTATTGTTTGAAGAAGCAATGGAGAAATTATCATAATTAAACACTTTTTGAATCAGAAAAATAACGTTATCGTCCCCTTTTTTATTTGATCAAGGTTTCAAGGGTATCGTTAAGTAACTCGATCATTGTTATCTTTGCATGAATGGTCACTTGAAATTATGCTTACAGTCCCTTTAAACACAGATCGTGTAGTTTCTTTTTGTTGTTGTGCACAAATACATAATGTTTCAGCCTTTTCATGAAATCACATTATAGTTTATATATTTAAATATATATTATATTTAGTTATTCAAATGTAAATAAATATGTATATTGTATATATCATTTATTGTATTATGTATACCAATATATTTTATGAAACTATTGTGTACTTTATCATTATTACTCACTTCATCGTAAATTTCAAAATACAATAAATTCCAAAATATTTTTTTTCAATTGAAATGAAAAAAAATTGAAATCAGCTTTATATTTTGACTTCTGCTTTGTTTTAAAGCTATATATTTGATCTAGAAACAGCCATTGAAATAAGACAGGTACACAAACATTTCATAAAATTACCTATAACACTATTATTTTGGCGCGACGTGCTGTAAAGTTTTGGACTTAAATTTTTCTTATATCTCGAAGGTTCTCGCCTTTTTAGATTATATTTAAAGCTCGGGACAGAATTAAATCTATAAAAAGCAATGTTCCTTCTCAATAAAGAGAAAATTTCTGTCCATAACACTGCGAACCAAAATAACAGTGTTATAAATAGTTAATGCAAAACATATTAATTACATGTTCAAACCGTTGTATGTATTTATTAAGAATAAAAAATATATATACCTCAAAGATGAAATGTAATTTTCAACTTTAAATTTAATTTTAATTATGATGAAAAGTTTAATTGAATTTGTTTGATTGGAAAAGTTATTCATCTCCCAATGAGTCCTTTAAACATGAATAGTTCAAACATGACGTTGAAATATCCGAGAAAGGAATTGAGTCTCTCTCACAAATTCGGATTTTATAATCCCTATATCATGACAACCTGATTTCGAAGACGATACTTTAAACTTTAAACTTTGATATTTACATTCTGGTAGGTCAAGAGTGTGAGTTTGAAATATCAAAGGCTTACACACTAGTGATTTAAAGATTTATTTCTTTATCTCCAAATCTCGTTATTTTTGTTTTAAAAAAATTGATACATGAGAGTGCAGTATACTTGTCACGTGATAGACGCAGAGACACGTGACCACTATTCTGCACTACCATAGGTGGGAGTGCTGGTGACGTAATACGGACTTATATAAATAATATTATCAATTATATCTATTAATAATAAAAATGAAAATTATAAAATAATAATTGGAGAAAACTATTCACTATTAGGTTTCTCTGGGATATCTTTGTTTCAGATTTGTTGTGTATTTGCTGAATATGATCTGTTTAAACCTACTATTTCTGTACAAACTGGTTATATATATGAATTTTCGTAAAAATTTGACACTTTTTTATCAATTTGTCGAGACAGGAACATCAGACATAACTTTCCTGGGTTGTGATCAAGAGCTAACGTGATTAACTTTCAGCCTATACCTGGCTCCTTTAATTTTTCCTGTACAGTCCCTTTAAGGTACTGTCGATGTAATTTCCTCTATTTAAAAAGAGGCGTATATCCGATTCACCACAGAACTCTTTCTGAGTAACAATGAGGAATATATCGTCTTTTTTATGTAAAATTGTTTAATTCTGACAATTCCCCTCTTTGAGTCTGCGACATAAATTGGCAAGTGATTTCGATAAAAAAATGAAGAATATCTTCATCGGTTTGGCTCAGACTAAGGTTTAACGGGTAGTTTTATTAACTTTAGATGGGGGGGGGGGGCACTTGAAATTACATCCATTATCCCTGTAAACACATATCTAGTAAACGCTATGCACTAAAAATGTTGATTGTTATGTATAATAAGTATGATTTAATTCCATACATCTAAATCACAGGCAAAATACGTCATTGATGACAGGATGTGTTCAGCTTGAATAATTTTATTGCAATTTTCCGTTCTTCCGTGAAAAGAGAAGTAACTGTACGATAAAAGTGTAAAATCAAGAAATTATTTATTATTTCATGTTTACAGTATTTTGTTATCAATTTATCAATTGTCAAAACAAAATATCAAACTTTGGAATTATTAATTAAATTTTAAAATAAATATTTGTTTTTGTATTTTTACCAATTTTGCCAAACTGTCATCACTTCCTTAATTTGTGAGTGTTTATCAAACCAAATCTAATTTGATAAATATTAACCAGGTGTTTTCTACTTCATATAGATTTCAACAAATTAAAAGATAGTAAAATTTTCAAGAGATATAAATGGATATATCATTCAGATAAGACAATGGTTTTAATGGTATCACTTTGAATAGGACAGGATACTTTTTTGTAAAGAGTCAGTTGAAATTACGACTATAGTAAATTGTGAAAGCATTCTGCAAGTTTTAAAAATGTTAACCTCATGAAATATGAGTTTTTTGAGGTAAAAAGTTTAGTTAATTTTAACTGCACAAAGAAATTAAAATCTTTACCACAAACTCAAATTTTCTAATCCCTATATCTTTGTAACCTAAGACTGTGAACCTTTGATATTTCAAACTCAGATTATTTGATCCAATAGAATGAATTGTTTGCAATATTTAAGGTCACGAAATTAGGTTGCAAAGATATAAGTTAGAAAATTAGAGTTTGTGGCAAGAACTCCAGATTCTGAGAAGTTCTTATTTTACTTTATCTAAAAAGTTAGATGACTAAAAATTGAAAACTAAATCTCTAATTTCTGGAATTTTCTGGAAACATGTGTTCAATATTCACATGTTGGAGGGTTCGTAAGCGTAATTAGAAATTAAGACAATCCCCGATTTACAGTAGTACCCTTAGAAAAAAAATGTGGAAGATATAGTCGTTTATCTGACTCGAAAAGTGTTTCGATCGTCATTGTGCTGCAATAACCGGTGGAAAGTTTAAAACTTAAGACGTTATAATACTAAAAATCATCATACTTAATATTTAAAATCATGTATACAACAAATACAATCCACGTCCATCGAGGCCCCTTATACATTCAACAAAGACCATGTCGATAACCCCGTTCTCATCCTATATTTTCTTACCGTAGTGATCCTCCGTCCTCTGAGCTACTGGTAGAACTCAAGCATACATCATTTGATTCTGAAATGAGCCGGGACTTGAATAAACACGATCTAAATCCGTCCGCGCGAGAATATATATGCTTAAAACTTTCTTAAAGATATTTATAAATACTAGAACATTGACAAAAATAAAATAATATCAAACTGGAATTGCGCTGCGATCAGCTGAAACTTCCGACTCCGCTTTTGTCTGCAAACGGTTTGATTTGGCTCGGATACTCTTTCCGGTCCCTGGATTTCCTGAATCCACGAAACATTCACCATTACTTCTTATTAACAAGAATTGCGCGAGAAACTGAAAATGAAAATAAACATTTTAAAGAAACAAAAACATTGTTATCCTCTTTATACTTTATCTGAGAAAGCTTTCAAGGGTACCGTTGTAAATCCGGCATTACCATCGTTGCATAGAGGAAATTACGCTTACAGTCCCATTACTAATGAATAAACATGAACCCTGTGGTTAGATAAATTTAAGTTTATCTTGTTAAAGTATAGCACTTTGCTTTGCACCAAACTCGAGATATACCAATGATTAATGTAAGGTTATGTTTTATAAAAAAAAATTAAAAATAATAAAATTTTAAATATTAATAATTCTACATTTCTTTGCAACCTACTGTCGTAGACCTTTGGTATTTAAAAACATTCAGCTAGATCTAATAGTCAAAGTTTAAAATAACTATGGTTTACATTATCAGGTTGCAAAGATGGACGAATTAGAAAATTAGAGTTTGTGGTAAGTTCCTATTTGGCTCTAAATATCAACAAATAGTCCAAATGAAATAATTAATCTAAATTATGAATTTTATCAATTATTTCTACATTAATAATTCTTATTGGGTTTCTCAAATAATATTGAGTTTATAATTCTTTTATATTTGATCTTAGATTTTTAATATTTAAAATGTCAGAAGAAAACGTATAATTCACGATATCAAGGTTATAAATGTATATAGCTCTCTTCAACCACTGAATGGTAAGGTGAAGGTTGGCGAAGGTTTGGCAAAGGAAAGGTAAAGGTTGGGCAAAGGTTAGATAAAGGTTGGTGAAGTCTGAACAAAGGTTAGATAAAGGTTGGCAAAGGTTTGGCAAAGGTTAGATTAAGGTTAGTGAAGGTTTGGCAAAGGTTAGATTAAGGTTGGTGAACTCTCAATGTCTATCTATCTATCTATCTATCTATCTATCTATCTATCTATCTATCTATCTATCTATCTATCTATCTATCTATCTATCTATCTATCTATCTATCTATCTATCTATCTATCTATCTATCTATCTATCTATCGATCTATCGATCTATCGATCTATCGATCTATCTATCTATCTATCTATCTATCTATCTATCTGTAAATCTATCTATCTATCTGTCAATCTATATATCTATCTATATATCTATCTATCTATCTATCAATCTATCTATCTATCTATTTATCTATCTATCTATCTATCTATCTATCTATCGGTGTATCGAGTTGTCTCTCTCTATGTATAAGTCATGTTCGTCAAATCTTGCTTCCGTGTTCATCTGTTAGTTAGGCAAGGATCATCCTAGCAACAACATTTAGTTAATTATATACCCCAGTGTGCTTGATATCTGCGTAGAACCCATTAATTTATTCTACTACGCAGAGTCTTCATTACATTGATAAAACATAATAATTATAGTGTAACGTCAAGGTGATAGATAAACAATTAAGTATCTTCTAATCCATTAAGTTGAAGATTGTGGATCTGATATAAACAGTAAATTGCATTGTATGCATGCAAAGTACACTGGGCATTGCATTGCCTAAAATTAAGGGGTATAAGGTTTTTATATTTTGACTAAACTAGTGTATTGAAGCCTGAGCAGTTTAATGTTTATACAAAATAAGATTTCCTAATGACTTTCATAAACTCTTTGAAAACGATCTGAAAGTTGGATTTGATGCCCGGGCCTTGAATAATACATTTTAGAGAAATTAAAATCAGTTTTATTAGAAATGATAATGACGTTTGAATCTAATCAAATAATGATTTTATTTCATTCACCTTGACACCTTTCAACATTTATTTACAAGTTTAAAAAAAATTAACTTGTAACGTACTGTATTCAGTATTATTGTGATAATCTGTGTGTATAATATTTGCAAGAAATATCTTCTCTTCAGGGTCTGAAAATATTCATATTTTTCCTCTGCACTGTGTGATCATATTTCATGTGATACAGTGGTAGGCGATTTTATCGATACAATAAAGACGATCTTAGATTTCAATTTTGATTTATATCAAGCTGTTAAACAGCATGAACATGGAAGTCAAGAGAAGCTGTCGATCAAAAAGCTTCTCTTTGATTGCTTGTAAACTTGAAATTTAAAAAAGCTTGTTAACCATCAAAACTTAAATTAAAAAGTAGTCTTCATTGTACTGACATAATCTAGTACCACTGTATGAAATGAGAATATAAAACTAAACTATTTTAAATAAATCAACAAGAGAAAATAATTTATGTTTAAAATAGTTCATTTTTTTGTCGTACTTATGTTTGTTGGAACTCTCTGTATGAACATTCTCTAAGATTGTTGTGTGCTTATTTCCAGAACACGTGGAAACTATTAAAAACAGATTCATGTTGTCAAAACATTGTCAAAGCATTACCAATCCAATTTACTTTTACAAAACTAAACTAAACTTTTAACTGTGTACTGTTAGTCCTGAACATTTCATCCAAATTTCAAAACAAAAAAGTAGATAATTTGAAGAAAAAAAATTTCGAATGCGTTTTTTCTCACAACTTTAAAGTATATTTTATTTTTATTTTAGATTTTCAAAAAAATATGAAGATTTTGAGGATATAATATTTTTTGGTCTTTGCTAAACAAGGATAAGATTACCGGTAAATTATAACATTTTTTTCAAATCTAAATCACATTTTTAAATTGAACTTTATTGCAAAAACGTTATTTTAAGTAAAAATGTTTTACTCTTAATTATGATAAACTTTTATAAAAAGAATCATTTAGAGTTGTTATCACCCAATATTCTTCACGACCCTTTCTAACGTTTATGATAAAAGTAAAAAAAAAAAACATTTTACATAAATAACATTTTCTAAAAGTTTGTCAAGATGTATTAATTTTTAAAATCTGATATATTTGCATTCATAAAACTTGAAAAAAGATTAATTGTTCAAAATTAACCAAGAAGAATTCTGAACTAACCTAATAATGTATTCGCTGCATAAACGATGATTTTTTTATGCAATCAAAATCAAAAACGGTCCTTGCATTTGGAGATAAGCTAAAAAAACTTCAGATACAAACTAAAAATAAACATTTTTTTAAACCAATAACTATTCCCTGCAGGGTGCAAGGAAGATACAAATCATCTTTCATCATGAGGGCGCAGGTAAAATAGATTTAACTCAAATATTTAATTACAGTTTTATTCTTATAACCCGGAATCTATATATACATTTGGCTTGTCTGTTTGTTTGTTTGTTTGTCTGTCTGTTTGTATCCAATAAACGTCAAAACGGCTGAACCGATCGGGCCCAAATTTTTTGTGGGACATCTAGGGACCCCAGGGAAGGTTTATGAATGATTGAAATTTTAAATATTTGTCTCCATCAAAATTCGATCTTCATTAAATTTTTTAAAATTTTGAAAATCCACGAAATTTTTTGTGAAAATCCGCGAATTTTTTTTGTTTTGTTTTACGATGTACACAAAGAGAACATGTTCACAATTAATTTAGAAGATGGGCGCGAAGCGCCCTCTAAGGCTAGTAACATATATTTATTGATGACTTCAATGTCGTCTTTGACCTTAGACATAGTTTGCGGCATTTACCATAGCTAAATCAAGCAATATGTTTTACGTGACAATAATCACAGTTCAGCCCTAGTCCATTTCCAAAATGTGGTCTGCCGTTTTTGTGCTTTCATAATTACTGGAGATGTGAATGATTTCGCTCAAAATTAGACATTTTCATTGTTTTAACTAATAAATAGAAATATAAACAAAATTCTTAATATCTCTGGTTAAATCTTAAGCTGTTCATTAGACCCACAATATTAAACCATAGTTGGAAATACCTTATATTTGAAGAAAAAAATTTATTGATACATGATTTTTTTATCTAGTGTATTCTGGTTTGTCTTGCGATCTCCCTGTCTCTGGGTATCCATGGAAACCCTGCTCCTGATCATGAATCTAGCTCCGGGTCTGGGTGTGGAGGGGACAGTCTCTGTATCCTGGATTCTATGCTCCGGGAAGGTTTAATTAACCAGCAGCAATATCAGGGATAAGTTTCTAGTTTATGATATAATAAACCCAAATTTTGGTTAAACTTCACAACTTTTAACTTGCTTAATTTGCTTACTAGAGCCTTCACTCTTTTTAAATATTATAAACTTCTGAATAAAAGAACTAAGCTCTGTTAAATGAACAGTAATTTCAATCCTTACTTTTGATTGGTTGAGGTCTGACATATCGGGTCTCTCATTGGTCGAATCCCCAAATGTTTAACAATGACAGAAACGGGGTATAAAAGTCCCAAAGAAATAGTTTTGATTAAATGAATCATGTCTTCGTTCATGAACGCATGTTCGTTCAGTTCATACATAAGTTGCCGCTTTTATCCATATGTTTCTGTTTTTTTCTACTTTTGGTTTTTACATATTTTGAACCTTTCTTTCTCTACGCAATCTATGTCAAAAGTTTTCTTTTCTCTTCTCATTTGTGACCACCAAATCCTTGTAATAAAAGTAAAGGGTGTCCTTTAGTATAATAGACCTTGGTGAAACTATAGTAATACACCTTTATTCCTGCCTTCATTATCACAGAGTAAACAGATAGGACACGATTATATTTAGATTTGTTTTCTCTCCCGTCGCATAGTTTTCTAATCTCTGCCCTCATATAATTTTGTAATCACTTGCACCACCTAGTTTTGTAATCTCTGGAGTCGCGTAAATATGTAATCTCTGCCGTCATGTAGTTTTGTAATCTCTGCTGTCACGTAGTTTTGTAATCTTTGCCGGCATGTACTTTTGTAATCTCTGCTGTCACGTAGTTTTGTAATCTCTGCTGTCAAGTTTTGTTATCTCTGCTGTCACGTAGTTTTGTAATCTTTGCCGGCATGTACTTTTGTAATCTCTGCTGTCACGTAGTTTTGTAATCTCTGCTGTCACGTAGTTTTGTAATCTCTGCCGTCATGTAGTTTTGTAATCTCTGCTGTCAAGTAGTTTTGTAATCACTGCCGTACGCGTCGCCTAGTTTTGTAATCTCTGCCGTCAAGTAGTTTTGTAATCTCTGCTGTCAAGTAGTTTTGTAATCTCTGCAGTTGCGTATTTATGTGATCTCTTCCGTAGTGCAGTTTGTTATCTCTTCTGTCACGTAGTTTTGTTATCTCTGCTGTCACGTAGTTTTGTAATCTCTGCCGTCAAGTATTTTTGTAATCTCTGCTGTCACGTAGTTTTGTAATCTCTGCTGTCAAGTAGTTTTGTAATCACTGCCGTACGCGTCGCCTAGTTTTTTCATCTCTGCCGTCACTTAGTTTTGTAATCTCTGCATTCATGTGGTTTCGTTATCTCTGTATAAAACTGTAGAACTTGTGTAGTATAATCTTACGAGCGTTTAAATAATCACTTTCTTTTAACTTAACTTTATGATCCACTATCCAATCCAATATGCATACCATGTACTTACCACAAATGTGTTTAAACCCAACTGCCACATCTTATCTGTAAAATCTATGATCTCTGTCTCTTCACTCTAGTAGAACCTCAACTACACCTCAGCTGCAGGACTTTATCGCTTGAAAGAGAGAATGAGAAATAATTAAATTATCTACTTTTTTCTTCTAAAGGAATTGAGCCTTTGTCACAAACTCTGATTTTCTAATCCTTATATCTTTGCAACCCAATGTTGTAGACCTCAGATATTTCAAACTTTATATTCTTATAGATAAAATAATCTGAGTTTGAAATATCAAAGGTTTACACCAAGTGGTTGCAGAGATATAAGGATTAGAAAATTAGAGATTGTGACAAAGACTCAATTTCTTTCCAAATTAGAAAGTTATTAACATATCATTTTCGGAGCTACTCGGTTTCAATTTTATATTTCCAAAATTAAACTCGTCGATAATAATATATACAAAAAAAAGATTATTAGTATTGTGAATTTAGTCTTTTTTTAATTCAGAATAAATTAGTTTTTAAAGAAAATATTTTAGAAACTTTTATTATATTCAGAGAAACAAGAACTTTATAACTCGACCTAAAACAAGGTATTAACTTTTAGGTTTGGTTTATTTTTACAATAATATTGAAACGAGGGTTTAAGTATAATTCACAAATTAATTATACATTTATTATTGAACCAGTCACAATGTTTTTAAAGAAAGTTAAAATCAACTTTAATAAAATTTTACTTTCTTGCCCACCCCCCTTCAAAACTTGAACGGTTTTGTTTTAAAAAAGAAAGATATTAAATTAAAGTTCAAATGTCTTTTTCCGATTCAAAACCTAACGTTTTGTGCATATTATCGAACTGACAAAATCATTTCGAAAAAACGAAGATTTAGTTTGAAATTATGTCAGGGATATTTTTACATCTCGAACTAAATATTGGTTTTTGAAAAAATGACACAAATAAAGTGTGTTTAAAATAAGGTAATTAGGCAAATAAAGTTAATTGCTCTTGCGTATTCTCTGAAACCAGTTCTCTCTGGGAGGTGTTTGTAAACAAGAATAGATAAATCAGTGTTCTTGTAGTATCCTAGGAGGGTAAAAGCATTTATTTTTGAGAATTTTGATATTTTACATTTACATAATATTTTCCTATAACCAGAATATTTCATTGATTTTTTATGTGAAAGATGGATCCCATGTAAGGCTGTGACATCCGTCTTGTGTTTACTTTACCGCCCAGAGACAGTACACTGCAGTACAATAAATGCGTACACCTCTGAACTAACTATCTTTACATTATAATTCTGTCAAAGAATTTCTTTGGTTTAAAGCAAGGAGAATTGAATACAAGGAGTGGGCAATAAGGTTTCCGTACACTTTGCTGTGATGTATTTGGACTGCTGGAGAAATAGTTTTTTCGTAACAACAATAATAAAGGCAGCCGATCTAATGTAAACAAAAATGAGTTAGTATACGGTTAATCTTCATCTAACGCCAGAGATGCACCAAATGTCTATTAATCATTTGTGTTATTGCTTACAATCTTTATTATTGTTGTTACGACGCAAAAACTAGTTCTCCAGTAGTCCAAATACGTCACAGCAAAGTGTACGGAAATCCTATTGCCCCCTCCTTGTATTCAATTCTCCTTGGTTTAAAGTGTGTTGTATGACTGTTGAAAGGTATTCTTGTGTTAATCAGATTTTCTGGTGTAAATTCCTTCAACTAACAGTACATTGACTCTATACTTGTATTGTATGTGCGCCAAATTATCCTCAAGACATAGCGTAAACAGATAGAGAAGTATTATGTATGTATTTAATATATAGTTTCGTGATTTTTTTCTTCAAAGAAGTTGCCAATTTTCTTGTCCCATCTGCGTAATCTCTATGCAGCTGTAGAACTTCATTATTCATTTATTCGTCTTGATTAGCCTTTAGTTGGATCTATATCTCCATAGTCCTATTCTATATCTTGATTATCCTCTAGTTGGATCTATATCTCCTAGTCCTATTCTATATCTTGATAATCCTCTAGTTGGATCTATATCTCCTAATCCTATTCTATATCTTGATTATTCTATAGTTGGATCTATATCTCCTAGTCCTATTATTTTTTAATCTGTGAATTTTGTAGTTGGATCACCAGCTCCCAGTCCTATCCTTCTCCCAGGTATCTGGGGAACCAGGAGGACCAGGGAACCCAGTGGAACCAGGCATCTTCAGACAACCAGGGAGATGTAAGTTAAAATTAAAATAATGTTTCAAAGTTATATTTAAATCTTTTTATTGTTACTCAACTGACTCAGTACAAAATATTTGTTTATAAATTTTAAGTATTTTCTTTTATTTTGATTTTTTCACGCATTTAACAATACATATTATCTTTTTCAGTCACGAAGACCTAACAGTAAATATAACCCTGACTGCTGGGCCCAGGATGGGCAGGGTGGGCAGCAGAGCAGGAGGATAAGGAGTGGAAGGGGGCACGCTCAGGGTAGAGAACAGGAGAGAACACGACCTTGTCTCTGGGAAACAGATTACTATCTTGGAGATGAAACCTTATGAACTCAATAATTAAGGAAATGTCGTCGTGTAATTCTAAGTGATCCATCATTTAAAAAAGGGGGCATTCCCGGTTCATAACAGTACCCAATACCCGTGACATTTAACCTGATCAATAATGGAAGAAAACGTCGTTTTTCTAAAAGCCCCTTTTACAGATAAACCACAAATGAAAATAAACAATTTTTGAAAATAAAAACATAAATATCTAATTCATACTTGGGCAGACATAGCTTTTAAGGGTACCGTTGTGATTCGGATAAACCACTCTATCAATCAAAAACTAAAAATTATGAAAAAAATTTAATTAACTATACTTTCTGTAAAACAGACTGGACTCACTGAACTAACTAAACCGGGCATTTAGTTGAGAAAACGTATTAGAATATTTTAAATGTTTATATGTATTTATTTATAATAATTATTTTATTAAATCTTATTTATTTATTTAACTAACATGCTGCTGCAAATAAAACACATATTTAATGAATAATTTAAATTCAAATTTTTGGACTTTTTCAAATTTTTGCTTATGTTAGTGAATATTTTTAAAATGTCCAGCTTGGTAAATTGCACGCTTGAATGTAAAAATCAATCAGGATTAATGTCAACTACTTCTTATAAACTTAAGCTGAAAACAAAATGTTATGTTGTATATAGTACAATGTTGATGCCTAGTGTCTGTACTGTCTAGTCTACGGCTACAAAAAGTAGAAGTAAAGGAATTGAGACATTTACACAAACTCTTATTTTATATTCCCAATATTTTTGCAACCCAATGTCATTGATCTTTGATTCTATTAGACGACTAATTTAAGTATTAAATATCAAATTTGAGAAAGGGTAAGAATTCAAATCCTTGGTAATGAAAAACCACAAACTACACAGACTGCTTATCTCCTTTTACAGGGTGGGCTACGTAGGTCTAAGTTGACCCGGCACGACATGCTACATTTTTACGATAGGTTTTTAGAGTGCCATCTCACGGCCACTTGTTGAACATAAATTATAAATACCCATTCAGGGGTTATGTTTTACAAATTTTAAAGAAACACTCCAGTTTTAAACATGAAACATAACATTTATGAATTCAGTCTTTTTGAAGATTTTGTGTTTTGTATCCAAAGAGTCCTTAAATATCCCTGAATACAGATGTTTGCTGATTGGTCGTGTACAGTACTTGTACACAATAGAACATGCTGTGAAAAATTTCGCATATTTTAGCTGATAATCGATCGCTGTAACTCTCTTATCTCTGGATAAAACCCGAAATTAAAAACTATTTTTTTTCATATCTGTCTAGATCTCTATTGAATGCGTAATACAAACTCAACAGCATTGAATATGTTATTATAGCACTGCATACTCGATAGTAAACCTTACAAATGTAGGGAAATGGTAAAAGTAGAAATGTTTATTCTATTTCTATACATCCACTCTTCCTATTTAAATATAATAGAAAAGAGATGAACCAAACGAGAGAAAGAGCAAATATTTATTTAATAAAACCCTCTCAGAATGGATAAGGCATGACATTTTTAAATTTCTTATCTGATGCCGGTTTGATTTTGAACCAATTAAAAAAAAACAGTATACAGTGAACCCCATTCAACTGTGGAATAGAAAGACGACAGTTAGGTAATATTATGTGTTTATGAAAATCAGCGTATTAAGTGAAATGGGTATTCAACACAAACAAACAGACAACGCAAATATTAATAAAGATTATGCAGAACCCAAGGAAGTAATTTAATTTTAGTTTATTTAACAAATATGACATTGTAGGTTTTATGTTAATAATTATCTATTTATCTACCCCCTCTGTAGGCCGACATGGGTCTACTAGATCGAACTGTTGTATTAGATCCTTCTTCATCCTCATCACCATCATCCTCCTCATCATCATCATCACTGAGAGTATCCATCCCGAGATCCTGGCCTAGCAGGAGCTCAGCTCTATCTATATCCAGGATATCCTCCTCTCCTAGCAATCCTTCATCTTCATCCTACACATCAAGGAGTTTATGATTCAATTAGTCGGGATTTATTTGGCTAGTCAGTTACTTAGTGAGTTAACAGTTGAGATTCAACAAAGTTACCGGACACTCGGCAATATCTGCTAGTTGTTGGGATTAAATCAAGTTACCTGACCCATACTGGTAATATCTGCCAGTTGTTGGGATTAAATCAAGTTACCTGACCCATACTGACAATATCTGCCAGTTGTTGGGATTAAATCAAGTTACCTGACCCATACTGAGGGTCTGTCCTAGTGAACGATTTTTGGACCCCCCCAGGCCCCCCCCCTCCTATCAATTTTGTACATGACGAAATTAGTATATTAGTATTTATTTATTATTATTTCTGGGCCGAGCGCTACGGCTAGGATAGGCTAGTAATCTCTGNGGGTTAGGTTAAGTTAAGACACTATCTGTAAGATCCATGTACAAAATTGATAGGGGGGGGGGCCTGGGGTGGTCCAAAAATCGTTCTCTAGGAATATACCTATACTGGCAAGATCTGCCGTTGTTGGGATTAAATCAAGTTACCTGACGCATACTGGCAATATCTGCCAGTTGTTGAGATTAAATCAAGTTACCTGACACATACTGGCAATATCTGCCAGTTGTTGGGATTGAACCATCTCTATCCACTGGGCATTATGAAACCTAAACTTTTCTCCAAGTAGTCTTTCAGACCATTCAGGACTCACCTCGCCTGGCAATTAAAATATACATTTCCCAAAAGTTCTAATATTAATTTTATCTTAAATTACATAATCAAGTTTAAGAAAAATTTTGCAGGATATCTCAAATAGTTAATTCTCTAAATCTTCTATTTTTATTCTAAATCAAATTTCAGATTTTAACTTAATGTTTGAATTCTAGATTAAATATTAATTTTCTAGATTAAATATTCATATTTTAGATTAAATATAATCATATTCTAGGTTAAATATTCATTTTCTAGATTAAATAACCATATTCTAGATTAAATAACCATATTCTAGATTAAATATTCATATTCTAGACTAAATATTCATATTCTAGATTAAATATTGATATTCTAGATCAAATATTCATATTCTAGATCAAAAAATCATATTCTAGATCAAATAATCATATTCTAGATTAATTATTCATATTCTAGACTAAATATTCATATTCTAGATTAAATATTCATATTCTAGATTAAATTTTCATATTCTAGATTAAATATTCATATTCTAGATTAATTATTCATATTCTTGATTAAATAATCATATTCTAGATTAAATGTTCATATTCTACATATGTTCATATTCTAGATTAAATGTTCATATTCTAGGTTAAATAATCAAATTCTAGATTTATTATTCATATTCTAGATTAAATAATCATATTCTAGATTAAATGTTCATATTCTAGGTTAAATAAACATATTCTAGATTAATTATTCATATTCTAGATTAATTATTCATATTCTAGATTAAATATTCATATTCTAGATTAAATATTCATATTCTAGATTAAATATTCATATTCTAGATTAAATGTTCATATTCTATATATGTTCGTATACGTATTATATATTAAGTTTTTAAGGGGAGACAGACAAGGGGGGTTACAATTCCGAATAAAATGTTAAAATCCTAATTAGAAAATAAGACGTACTTTGTAAAGTTGAAAACTGCAAAGAATTTATTTAGCTTTTAGCATTTAATTGCCTTAGTCTCTGTTTAATTAAATTTTCTTCTCTTTTTCTAATTTAATTTATAGTTTGTATAACTAACTAATTAGTTCATTACAAGACTAACTTTACTTCAAAAATAAAAAAAATGAAAAATTCTGTAATTACTTTTAGTCAGATATTATTTAATCAGTCTGCTTAACACTTATCAGTAAAATTTTGACCTCATTTGAAACAAATTTACATATTGGGCTCGGCCTTTGAGCTAAAAAAATACAAGAAGAATATTCATGAAGCTTAATTAACCCGATAGAGATTTTATTCTCTATGATTACTGTCTGTTCCTAAAAACCTTTCCATCGCTGTCTCATAAAATTTCTAAGAATTTTCGTGGGTAAGTCAAAAATATTCTTTTGCTAAAAAGTGCTTGGGTTGATTTCATATTATCCTCCCTGAGAAGTGTAGTTTAGACTTGAGAAGAAACAGTAAATATGTGCCCAAACGTTTAGTAGATTGTTTATATTAAAGTTGCAAATATTTGGGCCATAAATTTGAATGAAAGGAACTGAGTCTTTGCCACCTGATGATGTAAATCTATGATATTTCAAACTTAGATTATTTGATCTAACAGAATATTCATAGTTTGAAATAGCATAGGTCTACGCCATTAGGTTGTAAAGATATAGAGATTATAAATCAGAGTTTGTGGCAAAAACTCAGTTTCTTTGTTTTTCCAAATCAAAGTCTTAAATATTCCTTGCTAATGTAAAATATTACCAATCATTTGAAGGGTCTGGTCACACATTTTCTGAACTTCTGGATTCCTATCATGCAGTAGGTCTAGTAGGTAGGGGATACCCTAATAAAATATATTTAAAGTAGGTCTAGTAGGTAGGGGATACCCTAATAAAATATATCTAAAGTAGGTCTATATAGTAGGTATGGGATACCCTAATAAAATATATTTAAAGTAGGTCTATATAGTAGGTAGGGGATACCATAATATAAAATATATCTAAAGTAGGTCTATATAGTAGGTATGGGATACCCTAATAAAATATATTTAAAGTAGGTCTATATAGTAGGTAGGGGATACCCTAATAAAATATATTTAAAGTAGGCCTATATAGTAGGTAGGGGATACCCTAATAAAATATATTTAAAGTAGGCCTATATAGTAGGTAGGGGATACCCTAATAAAATATATTTAAAGTAGGCCTATATAGTAGGTAGGGGATACCCTAATAAAATATATTTAAAGTAGGCCTATAAAGTAGGTAGGGGATACCATAATAAAATCTATTTAAAGTAGGCCTATCTAGTAGGTAGGGGATACCCTAATAAAATATAGTTAAAGTAGGTCTATATAGTAGGTAGGGGATACCATAATATAAAATATATTTAAAGTAGGTCTATATAGTAGGTAGGGGATACCCTAATAAAATATATTTAAAGTAGGTTTATATAGTAGGTAGGGGATACCCTAATATAAAATATATTTAAAGTAGGTCTATATAGTAGGTAGGGGATACCCTAATATAAAATATATTTAAAGTAGGTCTATATAGTAGGTAGGGGATACCCTAATATAAAATATATCTAAAGTAGGTCTATATAGTAGGTATGGGATACCCTAATAAAATATATTTAAAGTAGGTCTATATAGTAGGTAGGGGATACCCTAATATAAAATATCTTGTAGGTTATCAATATTGGTTTTATAAAAACCTAAAGATCAAAAGTTTACAATTGTGAAAAAAAATATTTTTTTAAAAACATTTCTGAAGTACCTCTGTTTCCTCTAGAACGTATTTTCTACTGTCTTTATGACTGCACAGCTGGTGGAAAACATAAATAACCTGAAATATTCTAGATTTTATAATTTTTCACATATATAAATATAGTTCTAAAACTTTAATTCTTCAAAGAAGTCAATGATATTGAGCTACTTGTAGAAATATTGAATCTATCATAAACTACTCATAATAAAGGGTCATCTACAAAGCACTACTTGAACTACCTGGAGTACTACTTGAACTACCTGTATTACTACTCGAACTACCTGGAGTACTACTTGAACTACCTGGAGCACTACTTGAACTACCTGGAGTACTATCTCGTCATCCTCCTGCTTTGCTTTAAGCAGCTCTATGAGAGCTGGTAAAACCTCGCATTTACAAAGAAATATTGCTGCGGACTCATCACTAGCACATGTTCCAACAAAGACGACAATTTCTAAAAGAAGATCGTCTTCTCCAATGTTTGGAACTAGACGACTTTTCATCCAATCAATCATCTCAAACTCCTTCAGTATCCTGGTAAAATCCAGATCCGGCAAGGTCAGATTCCCTAAAGATTTTTTTGAGATAAATATTTACTATTTTAAAAGATTTACATTTGTTGAGTCACGGAAGTTCGTAGTAAGATTTTGACTCCACTGGAGACTGCCGGAGGGAATTCTTTTTCACTGGAGGGGTTTTAAAAAAAACGCTTTTTACAATTCAAAATTTTACGCAGGGTGATTTACATTCCACTGGAGGGATTCAGATGTCCTTCCTGGGTGGTTATAATTCCACTGGAGGGATTTAGTTATCCTTCCCAAGGGTTTATAATTCCACTGGAGGGATTCAGATATCTTTCCTAGGGGCTTATAATTCCACTGGAGGAATTCAGATATCCTTCCTGGGGGTTTATAATTCCACTGGAGGGATTCAGATATCCTT